GCGCCATCGAGAGGAGCGACCGCCCCCGCTGCTGCACAGCAGCCAATGGCGGGCACGCTTTCTCCCGCGAGATATGAATGCGCTGCTCTAGCCAATCAGCGCTCCGCATCGCATCGCGGGAAAACGCCAATAGCGTCTCAACTGTGCTGCAGACGCCATTTTGCAAGGCGGCGAACGAGAGAGAAAGAATTCACGGTCAAAACACACCAAGATGGTGCAGGACGACGGCAAAGTTTGGTTTGATTTCGGGAATTTGCGCCTGTTTTGGCCACCACGGCGGCCTCGAAAATAGTATATTTTTTTGCACTTTGCGGTTGAATTAGGTGCTGATAATTACAGAATAGGTAGTTTATGAGACATACAACCCAAAAATGTGGTTTTTCAAAAACCGACTTTTTCGCGATTTTTCGGTTTTCAAGGGCCGCGTCCCCCCTTAACAGAATTGTCAGCAGTTTCCTTCTGAAGAAACAAGGTTTGCCATCAATCCCAGTCTTAAGCACATGGCAGGCCCAACGTGTCTTAGTGACTTTCAGCTGCTGTCACCAGTAGCGAACACAAAACTAGTCGACTCCGAAAAGCCTACCGGCGGCCCTGTTGCCATTGTTTAGTGCAAGATCAATCACTTGCAACTTGAAAGCAGCCGTGTAGCTTCAGTATCGCCCCATAACATGACAAGATTACCGACACAACACGCCGCAACGTGCACTTGCCGTTTTGGCTTGGCTTGGACTGGATTGAATCTCCATGCAATAATAGTATGCCTGATGCTTAAGAGACGGTGCCAGATGACGTGCGCTATCATCATCATTAGCTGGAACGAGCAGACGACGTTATTGCGGCAATTTTCGGAGGTTCGATAATTACTTGAGAAAAAAAAAAATCTCATTTTTGTTGGGCGATGTGGGGGGTGCGAGAATCATGCGAGTAAATATGGTAAATACCACATTTTCCGGTGTATAACACGCGTTTTTTTTCCAAAATTTTTGGAGGTGCGTCTTATACAACGGTGCGTCTTATACACACTTTTTTTGGTAGTTTTTTGGGAGAAACTCGTGTTGATGCTCATTAGTCTTTTTTTTTAAACCACTAGAGCAGTCCAATGCGAATTATGCATCATAATTATAATAACGAACACTCAACGTGCCGGTACTACAGTTTTAAAACAAAACCAAAGTACATAAAACGGAAAAATTTAAAAAAGTATGTCGTCGTGCGAGTTCTCAGCTCACTGAAGCTGCGCGAGTTTCGGAGGCTGTATCATAGAGAGCTGTACTCAGTGAGTGAAATCGGCGTAAGATGGCGATAGGTACGCGACGGGTTCTGCGGTTTGGTTCGGATTCGGCCGCTACTGCCGCTACCACCGTTACGCTGTCGTTCAGCGAGTTGGACTTGTCGCCATTTGCAACTTCATTCGTTCGGTTGGTCCGCGCCTTTGTTACCTTCACCTGCAGTATGCCGGCTAAACGGAAAAGTTACACGGCGAAGTTTAAGCTTGCTGCTGTGAAGTATGCAGAGGACTACGGAAACCGGGCAGCGGGCCGTCATTTCGACGTCACGGAGAAGATGGTCTGCACATGGCGACAGTCGACTGCTAAGCTTCAGGCCATGAAGAGTGACAAGAAAGCTGACCGCGGCAAGAAAGCACGATGGCCAGACCTTGAGGGACGTCTGCACTCATGGATACTGGAGCAGCGTGCCCAAGGTAGGGCGATGTCAACGGTGCAGCTGCGTCTCAAAGCGCAGGCGCTAGCTAAGGAGGTGGGCGCCGTTGATTTTGTTGGCGGGCCGTCCTGGTGCTCCACATTTATGCGCCGCAAAGCGCTGGCAATGAGGGCCCGCACAAGCATGTGCCAGAATCTGCCAGCAGATTTCAAGGACAAGCTTGAAAGATTCCAGGCTTTCGTTAAGAAAGCCATTGAAGACGATGGCATCGGCAACAGCCATATAATAAACATGGACGAGGTGCCACTTACGTTTGACATCCCAATAGAAAGGAGTGTGGCACCGAAAGGTGACAAGTCTGCCACCATCAAAACTACCGGCCACGAAAAAGCGCACTTCACGGTTGTGCTGGCATGTTGCGCCGACGGGCAAAAACTTCCGCCAATGATTATATTCAAGCGGAAGACGATGCCGAAAGAGTCTTTCCCGCCTGGTGTCGTCATAGAAACGAACGTGAAAGGCTGGATGGACGAAGAGATGATGGGCAAGTGGCTTGAAAAATGCTTTTCTAAGCGACCGGACGGTTTCTTTCATGCGAAGAAGGGCCTCCTGGTATTGGATAGCATGCGGGCGCACATAGCGGAGCTCACTTTAAAGCGCATCAAGGCAAAAAACTGCACCGCTGCGGATATCCCAGGCGGGATGACAAAAATGCTTCAGCCGTTGGACATCTCGGTGAACCGCAGTTTCAAGGCTATTCTGCGGAGCCTGTGGGAGTCATGGATGTCCGACGGCGAGCATAGCTATACCGCAACTGGACGTATGAGGCGTGCTTCGTTTTGCGAGGTCGCAAAGTGGGTGCGCGAAGCCTGGTGTGCGGTGTCACAGGCCACCGTAACTGCGGGGTTCCGCAAGGCAGGCCTGCTAGCATCCTCAGCCCCTGGCCTCGACGACGACGACAGCAGCAGCGATTCCGAAGAGGAAACAGAGGAAGTCCCAGCGTCACTGCCGCCAGAGCTCGCTGAACTATTCCAAAGCGCGTCGGAGGACGAGGACTTTGAGGGCTTTGAGGAATAAAATGTTTTCCTGCAGTCGTGCGGAACGTTTCAGTGGGTGCGCATTATTTTTTCTCACAAGTTCGGTGTAGTATAAGTTTTCTTACGGACTGGCGCTCAGAAACGCAAGTACGGCATTTTACAATGCTCGCTCAACTGCACGTTATGAAGTTTCTTTGCGGAAAGTGAGTGAATGTAGGTGCGTCTTATATATTAATTTTTGCATGAAAACTTGCGAAAACTGGGGGGTGCGTCTTATACAAAGGTGCGCTTTATACACCGGAAAATACGGTACTTGAAAACACTGACATGCCTGCCAAGCTCAAGGATTCTGAATCCTGGAGATTTCCGCAACAGGGCGGGGCTGAATTATCTGCCCTTATACTTTTTCTGTATAAAAAACCCAAGGACAAAAAAAATTGGTACTAAAAAACCCCAAGGACAAAAAAAAAAAAAAAAAAAAAAAAAAAAAACTTGAAAAACAAGAGGGGGTGGTGGGGTCTCAATCGCAAGCACCAACATCAGCGTTGTGGTCTTATAGTGACCAAGCACACAGAAGTAGACTTTCCCACTAAAGTGAGAGTCTCAAAGGATCAACACAAGTAGCAGAATCAATTTCCGTCAAAACAAAAACAACTAGCGTATGTCTTCCTGGGACACACGTGAACGGACGGGACGGCGCAGCTGGCTGCCGCAAAAGCACTGGTCAAGGCATTGCTCCCTACTAGATTCTTTTGACGGAACGCTAGAACTTGTCTGGCCTCGTTTTATTGCCATAGTAATCATATGAACATTCTAGGCTGCTTTTTGGCCATCGCCACCGTCATTCACCGTATTTGTATACGTATCTCTATATATATGAACACCCAAGAAAGAAAGAAAAAAAAGCCGCCTGTGCTTGGCATCCAGCTCACCGCGATGGCAGACATGCGCTCATCTCTCACGCGTACTTTGTCCAGAGGATGGGGGGGGGGCTGTGCGCGCGCGATTATCTTTTGGTGGGGACAATTGAGTGCCTTCGGCCTTCGCTGGAGCGATTGCGTTAGTTGTCAGACGCATAAAGGTCACTTCGGTCTCCGTTTGCGAGAAGAGCGCGCTTTTCATACACAGCTAGGTATAACAACTGGAACACTTGTTAGTTTGTACTAATCTGTGCCTGTGGTTATGTATCGTGCATCAATTTTGTTTAAACAGCGCATTACAAGTCGAGCAGTAAACGTTAGTTAAATCTCGTCATGTGTGTATTGTTTCCCTGCGTAATTTTTGCGTGAGCAGCGCGCTGCACGTCGTCTCGATCTGCTTGCCGTTCTCAGCATGACATTCCAAGTTGTTGCTGTCGTATTCATGGCTTCACCCTTGCGACGAAACTGTATTCACTGCCTTTAATTTACAGCTGCACGCCCCCAGAGCTCGTAGATCGCTATCACATCGCCGTGACTGCGGTTTCGTGTGCGGCAGTTGCAGCAAACCGTAGTACCTTTTACGATTGCCGTGCGCTTGGCTGCACACCCGCCTTCAAAAGTAAGTCGTTTTATTCTACAATTGAATCTGCCGCAGTTTTGTCCGCAGAGTTTGTGGAAGGCAGCATTGCTTTGACTGGTTGAGCGCAAACTTTCGGGGTTCTGTCAGTTACGTCGTCGCCATACATGTTCTTGTCAAGCGCGACTGTGGTTTCGTCCACAGCGGTTGTGGCAACGACAATAACACACACTAAAGAAGACAGTGTGTGCGCCAGTTGCGCGCGCACTTCCGAAGCTTCGAGTACGCTGCTCTAGGCCTTCGTTCGACCGTTTCTGTACTAAAGTTCATATCACCAGCCGCGATTAGGAAATGTGTTTGGCTGAGGAATTTCACGAATTCATATCTGCCGACATTTTGCATCACTGAGATTTTACTGTACACTTACATGAGGGCTTCTTAAACTCATTTATAATAAAATAGGGTAGGTTCGAAAAGCCTGAAGCAGATTGAGCTGCTTTCTTTTTTCCAATGCAGCCAGATAATGCACAGAAATTTAGATTTCCGTGAGATTTTCATGACAACCGTAAAAATGGAAGAAATGGCCGACATCCAGGAGTCTCCTGGCCAATCTGGGAGACTTGGCAGGTATGCACTGACTAACAGAGATGTGACACATAGAACTTGTTCTGAAAGTGCACAATGTAACACTAAGCCCACTTATATAATCTATAACACACTCCCTGAAAAAAAGAAGTTTACAACCACTTTTCGATCCAAGCACTTCAACTCAAAGCAAGAATTACAAAGAAACGTGATGCTCACAACTGTGCAAGTTCCCTTGGAGACCTATGGTTAAATGTTTCCTCCTCGGGGGCGGCTGCGACAGCTCCTTCCTCTGATACCAAGAGACCCAAAACAAAATACATCAATATACAAAAACTGGTTCAAATTCTTGTAAATTCACAGCTAAAGAATACTGCATAACTATTCTGAATGCAGCAGACTTAACTTTGTGGCACAGCAGGCCAGCAATCACATATCTAAATTTTTAATAACAACAGCTACAAATTTTCTTTAGACACAAGGACGACATGGTGAAGCAAAATGGTAGGTGATATGGTTAGAATTCACTTTGACCACAGAACACACATAAAACAAGCACTGTTTGTTTGCACTGTGTAACTAATTCAAAACAAACCATGCACGATTCTATCATTTCGCAATCACGATCAATTTTTTCAAAAAGCTTGTCACTTTTTAGCTTGTCCAAAAAATTCACAAGGGCGGAGTGCACAGTATGTTAAGAAACAAGATTGCAATCAGAAGTCCGAAAAGGCTCTTCAGACTCTTACATGCTCCAGGTAATATTCATATTGCCACTGAGACTGTTTACAATATCTGACATTATGAAAAATCAGCGTCCACAGTCTTGTGCGCACTCTTGCTTGGGGCCACACGACTCATGCCTCTTGTTCACAGGCACGAGCCAGAGTGGGTTGGAGCTGCGAAGAAGAAGAAGGTGCGTGGGTAGAGGAACAGTTTTTGTTTTTGGAACGCTCTAGTGGACTCTTCCATCTTTTCGCACATAATTTTCAGGGCACAAGTTCGCCCATAATAAACTAGTTTTTGACTTTTCCTCTCTTGCACCTGTTACATTCTGGTGGAGGTGCTGGGTATGATAGGAAGCCCCCTTGGCGCAAGAGAGCGAAACCCCGATCCTCAACGATTGGAACCTGGTGAACTGACTTTGGTACACCAGCGTTTAAGCCGCCGTCTCCGAGGAGAGCCACCTGAATTCGCACCCCTCCCCAGTGCTCCAGCAACACAAGCAGCGTCCACAGACAACGGAACGATGGCTTACCAGGTGACATCATCGGAACTTATTCTGTCCCCACCGTGCTTGCCTGAGCCCTTCCACGGTGACACGTTCGAGGATGTGGAGGATTGGTTAGAACACTTCGAGCGGGTTGCGAAAACCAACGGCTGGGATGAAGCAAGGAAACTGCGTCGCGTATACTTCGCATTGGAGGATGCAGCGAGGACATGGTATGAAAACCACGAAGCGTCCATACCGACATGGGAAGAATTCCGACGACAAATAGTAGCTACATATGCCAGCACCGATCGTCGGGAGAAGGCGGAGAACGCTTTACAGTCCAGAAACCAGCGCACGAACGAAAGTGTTGGCATGTATATTGAGGACATGTCCCGCCTTTTCAAGCGCGCTGACCCAAACATGAACGAAGAGAAAAAGCTGCGTCACTTGATGCGAGGTGTCAAACAGGAGTTATTTGCCGGTTTGGTACACAACCCACCTCGTACAGTTGCTGAATTCCGCAACGAAGCCACCTCCATTGAGCGGGCATTGCAGCAGCGCTCCCGTCACTACAATCATGACACAAGTAGTGTTCCTGCGGATGTCCTCTCAGCAAACCTGGGAAGCAGCAGCGAAGCATTGAGGGAAATGGTGCGATCCATTGTGAAGGAAGAGCTCCAGAAGCTGCTGCCCCGACAAGTCGCAACGCCAGTTTCGTCTCTGACTACCATGATCAGAGATGAAGTTCGCCACGCCATTCTTCAACCCGAACCCGAGGCGCAACCTGCTCGACTTGAACAGCAATTGCAGGAACGCCCTGTACCTACTTGCGCCGATGCCGTACGCCAGCCCGCCGTGCATACTGCTTCGTTTGCAGCTCCCAGTGGCTACCGACCGGCTTCGCGTGGCTCAAACTATCCAGCTAACTCGAGGCCCCGAAAAAGCGACGTGTGGCGCACACCCGACAGGACGCCTCTCTGTTTTAACTGCGGCGAAGCTGGACACCTGTACAGAATGTGCCCATATCGACGAGTTGGTCTCCGTGGGTTTTTTCCAAACGTACCACGCCCCCGAAATGGCGAAAGACCCGTTGAAATTGAAGATTACTTGTCCGGCCATCTGTTTCCAACTGCCGGTTTCCAGCATCAGCCTAGATCACCAGCGCCTGCTCGCTATCGATCGCCAAGTCCTCGACGATTTAGTTCACCTTCTCCACCTTCAACCTCAACACACCGTCGTTCAAGCAGTCCCCATCAGGAAAACTGAAGCCAGCGACCTATGGAGGCAAGGCCGCTGATGTCCGACCAACTGATGATGATGATATATGTTGTTTAATGGCGCAAGGGCCATTGATGGCCAAAGAGCGCCAGGAAGTATCGGATGAGAGCAATGGTTATGGTAAATGGCTGTAAAAGGGCCTAAAATTCTGCGCTCTAAAGATGCGTAACACATATATTCATTAAAATCATGAAAGTGAAGTGAAGCATGCCTGGTGAGAATGAGTCTTTAGTTATCATGACATCATAAAATAGGAGCGTTATATTAGCACCGATTTCTCGCCAGCGCTTTTGGTCCCAAGGGCTGGGAGACAGGTGCTCTCTTTGGATGTAGCATCCGCAGCAGCAGCCTCCTTTCAGAGGCCGCGCTACCGATCACTTGAGTAGATAACATGGAAAGTATTTACTTCCTTTAAGAATGCATTCAATGCATTATATTTAAAAAGAGGTTCGCGACCAATAAACATAGCTGGGTGAAGGGGTATGTGTTCCTTGTACGCTAGTGGAAAATGTTTTCCTATAAGCCTCTAGCTCAGAGCATTCAAGGAGTATGTGGAGTACGGTAAGTGGACGGCCACATCTGTGACAGCTGGGTGGGTCACCACCAGACAAAAGGTGTGTGTGCGGGCTGTGTGCGTGTCCTATTCTGAGCCGACAGAGACTGACCTCTGTACGGCGTGTTTTCGACGTGGGCGGCCAGTTACCGAAGTATGGTTTAATCAAGTGTAACTTGTTACTAGTTTGTTGATCCCATAACATCTGCCAGTAAGCCCTGAGCTTTTTCCGTATGTTTGGTTTTAGGTCCATTATAGGGACAGCAACTGAAGAGTTGGCAGAGCTTCCGTTAAGTGACCTGGCGAGCTGGTCGGCCAACCCATTTCCTTCAATCTCGCGATGTCCTGGCACCCAGCACACGACGATATGTTGCTTGGAAGCATAGGCCGCGCAGAGTATTGAATAGAGGGATATAATTATAGGGTTTCTGTGTTTTTTAAGATTTTTCAACGCTTTTACGACACTCAGGGAGTCTGTGTATATAACTACCCTTGGCGTATTCAATTCTTTGATGTGTTTAACGGCTACGAATAACGCGTAAGCCTCGGCTGTAAAAATGCTTGTGCTGGTGGACAGAACGGCGGCATCCGAGAAGGATGGGCCAACCACCGCATAGGACACGCCAGTATGGGACTTGGATGCATCAGTATAATATTCTGGACAGTCATATTTATGTTGCAGCTCTAAAAAATACATCCGAATGTGTATGGGAGAGGCATGCTTTGTGACAGCTACGAAAGATGTGTCACAGTCTATAACCTGCCACTGCCATGGCGGGAGCCGCAGAGCAGGGGGGCTGAGGTGGTATTCAAGCAGTGGGACATCTGTTTCTTCAGCTAGGTCTCCGACACGCAACGAGAAAGGGCGTGCCATTGCGGGTCGATTGTAAAAAAGTTGAGAGCTGGACAGGTCGTTGATGGTGGAATATGCAGGTTGCTCACTGTTCGCATTTACTTTAAGGAAATATATGAAGGAAGAATATGTTCTCTGCAGATGGAGTGACCACTCGTCCGATTCTACATAAAGGCTTTCAACTGGGCTTGTTCTAAAGGCGCCTGTGGACAGGCGGATGCCTTGATGATGAACAGGGTCCAACATTTCAGAGCGCTTGGCGTGGCAGAGTGATAGACTCTTGCCCCCTACTCAAGACGTGAGCGTATAAGGCTTCTATACAGATTCATGAGGCACTTTCTGTCGCTGCCCCACGTTGTTCGTGACAGCATCTTCAGGATATTCATTGTTTTCAAGCATTTATTTTCAAGATGTTTTACGTGTGGTACAAAGGTTAACTTCGCATCTAAAATTATACCTAGGAACTTATGTTCTGTGTTTACGGGTAGACGCTCACCCTTAACGACCAGTTCAGGATCAGGGTGCAAACCTCTTTTTTGTGAAAAAAGGACACAGGTGCTTTTCTGTGGGTTCAGTTTGAACCCGTTTTCATCAACCCATTTGGATACCTTGTTAAGGGCGAGCTGAACCTGTTGCTCACAGATCCCAAGAGAACACGATTGAAAACCTATCTGCACATCGTCGACATATGTTGAATAAAAGATATTACGTGGAATGTACAGACGGAGAGAATTCATTTTTATAATAAAGAGCGTACAGCTGAGCACCTCACCCTGTGGCACTCCGGTTACCTGTACAAATGTTCGGGACAGAACATTGCTCACTCTAACGTGGAAGGTACGATCAGACATATAGCTTTCAATGACACTGAACATATTACCATGTATACCTAGGTGTGAGAGGTCTCTCAATATTCCAAACCTCCACGTGGTATCGTAGGCCTTCTCTATGTCGAGGAACACAGATAAAAAAAACTGATTATGAACAAAAGCCTCACGTAATGTGTGCCTCGATACGTATAAGATGGTCGGTGGTAGATCAGCCCTCTCTAAACCCGCATTGGTATGGGTCGAGCAATTTGTTTCTAAGTAGTAGAGTAAGCGGCAATTGACAATTTTTTCAAATAGTTTGCAGAGGCAGCTTGTTAACGCTATAGGTCTGTAACTTGATACAGTAGAGGGATCCTTTCCCTGCTTCAAAATTGGAATTATAACAGCCTCCTTCCAGGAGGAGGGGATCACACCTGAAAACCATATGCGATTATAAAGAGAGAGGAGGGTTTTTTTAGTTTCGGAGGGTAGTTCCTTCAGCATCGCGTACATTACATAGTCGGAACCTGGGGTAGATGTATTACAGCAGCTGAGTGCTGTTCGCAGTTCTGCTAAGCAGAATGGTGCATTATATCCCTCATTTCTTGCGGATTTTCTTTCTAACTTTTGTTTTTCTATTCGTGCCTTGTAATTCTGGAAGGATTCGGAGTAGTGCGAGGAGCTCGATATATGTTCGAAATGTGTGCCAAGAAAGTTGGTTTGATCCTCCAAGCTTTCCCCGAGGCAATTTACAAGTGGAAGGGAATACGTTTGTTGGCCTTTAATTTTCTTTACCTTATTCCACACTTTTCCCTCATCTGTGTACGAGTTTATACTCGATCGAAACTTTGTCCAGCTCTCTCGTCTAGCTTGTTGACGCGTTCTCCTTGCCTGCGATTTGACCCGCTTGAAATTTTCCAGGTTTTCTGCTGTAGTGGAATCGCGAAGCAACGCCCATGTTTTGTTCTGAGTGGTCTGTGCTTTGCTGCATGCGTCGTTCCACCATGGGACTCGCCGTTTAGAAAACATGCCGCTCGTTTTGGCAATACATTTAGATGCGGCATCAAGTATAAAAGCTGTAAAATAGGTGACAGCGTCATCTATGGTCAGGGCAGACAGCTCAGTCCATGTCGTGTGTAAGAGTTCTATACCCTTCCCAATCAGCTGAGTCAATTTTCCATCGAGGAACCTGTGGGGGTAGTTGGTCTTTGTTCGGCGCACTCAGGATGATTGGGAAGTGGTCACTCCCATAAGGGTTTTTAAGACCGTTCCACTTAAAAACAGGCAAAAGGGACGGTGATGAAATGCTAAGATCTATGGAGTAGTACGTGTTTTTTGCAAGGCTAAAATACGTAGGCTCCTTTATATTTAAAAGAACTAGAAGAGAAAAGGAGCTGCTCAATGAGACGTCCTCGCGCATCACAGTGAGCATCGCCCCACAGGACATTGTGTGCATTAAAATCACCTAGAACCAGAAACGGCTCTGGGAGTTCATCGATTAATGATTCTAGATCACGTCTGTGTAGCTGTTGATGCGGTGGTATGTACACGGAACATATGGTAACGAGTTTGTTAAAAAGTACAGCTCGAATGGCCACTGCCTCAAGGGCCGTTTGGAGCTTCAAATGCTGGCATGCTATACTACGATCCGCTATAATGGCTACACCGCCAGATGGTACGACAGCATCCTCCCGGTCTTTCAATTCGAGAAGCAGATCTCCACTTGCCATCTTCGTGGCCTTATAACTGGTTCCAATGGTCTCTCTCAAGCACTTGGCAACAAGGAAGGGTGAGATTGCTCTAGCTTTTGTAGATGACTGTTCGCAGTGGAGGACATGGTATTTTGGGAAAGTTTCTCTGTTTTTGGGCCAAAGTAGTAGAGTTGTGTCGGTGTGTACCCTTTTCGAGGCACGATCAGTTAGAGAGGGGGTCGAGGATCCCATGGGAAAATGTGGATTGTTCGGTAACGGCACCTACCACCCACCACGGAGTCCAACAAGGGGACGTGGCAGAGCATGTGGGCATGTCTGCGCAACGCCAGCAGTACGCAGTTACTATAACCCAATATGGTTTACCCTAGTTTGGATAGCCACACAAGGTTAACCCTTGCCGCCAGGAAAAACAAAAGTAAACGGAAGAGAGTAGAAGACAGGACAGATAAATAGTAAGAGATAAAGACGAAGATGTAGGGAGAGAGAGATAGGAAAAGGCGACTGCCGATTTCCCCTGGGTGGGTCAGCCCAGCGGTGCCGTCTACGTGAAGCCGGGGCCAAAGGGGTGTGTTGCCTCTGCCGGGGCCAAAGGGGTGTGTTGCCTCTGCCGGGGGGCATTAATGGTCCAATCACCCAGCATCGGCTCAACCTCCAGGATCCCCCTTTCCCTGGACACGGCAAAGCCACGCACGGCTAGGTGTGGGAGGGAGTAGAAACTCCCCCGTTAGCTCAGGTTCGTGGTGTCGCTATACACCAAACGCCTATTTGCGCAGGCGCCCCTGCGGGGGTCCGACCAACTGAAGGTCCTCTGTCAAGGTCCCAGTGCAGCAACGACGAGCGGAACACTACAACTAGGTTAGGTAAAGACAAAATATCTTCAGACTTACGCGTTACCGGAGACGGGTGTGAATTTACCGTTTTAGTTGACACAGGTGCTGATTATTCGGTTGTCAGTTACGCTGCCGCAAAGGATTTAAAGAAAGTCCTGACGCCTTGGAGTGGACCCCAGATATGCACGGCTGGGGGTCATCTCATCACACCTGTGGGAAGATGTACCGCACGAATCGGCATTCAAGGCGCTACTTACGTTGCTGACTTTGTCGTACTTCCGGAATGCTCTAGAGATTTAATACTTGGAATGAATTTTCTGCTAGCAAACGGAGCTGTAATCGACCTGCAGAATTCTAGTGTCTCTTTTTCGAACAAACTGGCCATAAACACAAATGAGCCAGAATACACTGCATTATGTGTTATAGATTGTGATGTTACCGTGCCGCCATGATGCAGCGTAATAGTCGGTGTAAGAAATGAAGCATTCGTTGATTCTGAAGGTATAGCGGATGCAAACATCGAACTACTGCTCAAGAAAGGCATTTGTGTAGCTCGAGGCATTATTCAATTACGTGGTGGATGTGCCGATGTATTGCTCACGAATTTCGGAAACGAAATTCAGCACGTTGCAAAGGACACTGCTATCGCCTTCTTGCACGGTTTTCCAACAGTGACGAACTTATGTGGTCTGGTGTCAGGGCCACCTGCTTCCGAACCTGCGCCCGATGTCGCGGCAAGAGTTGCAATCAGCCAAAATCTATCCCCAGCCGAGAAGAAAATCATTCAAGACCTCCTAAGAGACTTCACCGGATGTTTCTCTACCTCGTCAAAAGTACGGCGGACCCAGGTTGTTAAACACCGAATAATAACAGATGAAGCTACAAGGCCGGTACACCAAAATCCGTACAGAGTATCACCGAAAGAACATGAGATCATAAAGAGCCAAGTGAAAGAGATGCTCGAGGATGATGTCATACAGCCATCCTATAGTCCGTGGGCATCGCCTGTAGTCCTTGTGAGGAAAAAGGACAACACGCTGAGATTCTGCGTTGATTACAGAAAGCTGAACAGCGTGACCAAGGGGAATGTCTACCCTTTGCCGCGTATTGATGATACGTTGGATCGGCTACGGCACGCAAGGTATTTCTCTTCATTGGATTTAAAAAGCGGTTATTGGCAAATTGAAGTGGACCAAAGGGAGCGTGAAAAGACTGCTTTCGTAACCCCAGATGGACTATATGAGTTTAAAGCACTTCCATTCGGCCTGTGTTGTGCACCTGCAACATTCCAGCGCACGATGGACAGCGTCCTTTCAGGCCTTAAATGGCAGTCGTGCTTAGTCTACCTGGACGACGTTGTGGTGTTTTCAGCAACGTTTGAACAGCATGTAGAGCGACTACGTTCGGTACTTCAGGCTATACAGTCCGCCGGCTTGACGATTAAACCGGAAAAATGCCAGTTTGGATTCGAGAAGCTTCGTTTCGTCGGTCATGTAATCAGCGCTCAAGGTGTTGGCCCGGACCCGGAGAAGACTGTGGCCGTGGGGCTGTTACAAGAAAGAGGTACGCCGATTTTTGGGTTTATGTGCTTATTATAGGCGGTTTGTGAAAAATTTCGCAAAAATCGCCTTTAACAAGACTCGCAAGAGAGGACGTGCTATTTATTTGGTGCACCGAACAAGACAGTGCCTTCAACGAACTAAAGAAACGTTTGCAAGCTCCACCTATCTTGGCCAACTTTGACGAAACCGCAGATACGGAAGTTCATACAGATGCCAGCAATCTTGGCCTAGGTGCAGTCCCGGTGCAATGGCAGAATAGAGAAGAAAAAGTAATAGCATATGCTAGCCGCACCCTCTCAAAAGCGGAAAGAAACTACTCTGCAATAGAAAAAGAGTGCTTGGCAGTCATATGGGCGATCAGCAAGTTCAGGCCATACCTTTACGGCAGGCCGTTCCGTGCCGTCAGCGACCACCACCCACTTTGTTGGCTGGCGAGCTTAAAAGACCCATCGGGACGGCTTGCGAGATGGAGTCTCAGGCTCCAAGAGTATGACATGACGGTCGTATATAGGTCTGGCAGAAAGCATGGTAATGCTGACTGCTTATCACGTTCACCAGTCCACTCGACTCTTTCAGAAGAAGAGGACTTCCCACTCCTTTGTGTGATAAAAACCTCAGAAATCTCTGAACATCAACGGGCTGACATGGAACTGCTCCCATTAATAAAGTATCTCGAAGAGCACGACGAACAAGTTTCTCGCGTATTTAAGAGAGGGTTATCCTCATTCTGGCTGCGAGATAATGCACTTTACAAGAGGAATTTTGAACACAACAAGGAAAAGCTTTTACTCGTTGTACCATCAGCCATGAGGCATGAAGTCTTGGAAGACTTCATGCCTCATTTGAACCTTCGGTACATTTGTACTGAAAGTTGTGCTGAAAGTACTGTGAACTTTTCAAAAGCTTTAGATCGAATTACACAAAATATGAAACTAATCCCCCCCCCCCCCTTTTTCTTGTGTTTGAATGTAGTACAGTTAGTGACCAGCCACTGACTATACTAGTGCAATACTTGTAGAATGTACTTACCAGACTCTGGGTGCAAGTGGTTGTTTAAGCGTCTGCAGAGCTCATCCACAAGCGCTTCAAGACCTGCCTTCTGTAAAGAAGTTCAAGAGCTTGACTTTCCCCTTAAGAGTTCACAAAAAGTCTATAGAGACAGCACTGCCTACCTGCTCTGTCGCCGACCTAAGACACTCCACTGCCGCAACACGGCTTCCTAGTTCACCAAGTTGTCCTGGTTCCTGGCCATATTTAGAGGTAATATTGTTAGTAACTGCACTGAAACAATAATTAATGAACAAACAACCCGCTCATGACAAGAGAGAACATTAACTTTTCAGGGGGTGCTTGAACCCTACCACCCCATCTGGCTATGCCAACGTCAGTTCCTCTGCACTATGTTTTTGTATGGCCATGCACCTTTTCCCACTTGCAAATACACATCAACATGAGCATTGCACACTCGAGATGGCTGTCGTTGCTATGCCCATAAAACTGGAGGCACATAATTTACGCAGCACATGGCTACTAAAACTACCCATCGAAATGAGGTGTAGGTTTCCTGTTAGGAAGTGAGAAGGGCATTGAAAGCTGTACTAATTTTGCTAAAAATAGGTCATAAAGTAAGTTCATCACTGTTCTAGCCAAAACTTTACTGTATTTATAAAGGGTTTAATTCAGCACTGTGCTACATGTCTAGTATAACATGCTGTAATGAGCCTAGATTACTTCCTCAAGGCTTCTACAGACAGCAGCGCTATGAACAGCACTCTGTTAATGAAAGTATGGCAACTGCTTTATGCTATATAAATGCTTGGGATAGCATTTACAGGGGTGAGACGGCAGAGTCTAAATGGGAGCAGTTTTTGGAGCAGAAAAACCTTGCTTTGAAGCAGTTAGTGAAATTTATTATGTCGTCCTGGATGCTCGAAAATAAATATTTAGCAACTTGGGGGCACCAGTGCATATTTCAATTGGCTAAAAATGCACATAACACTTAAACAGATTTTGAAGGAAGTTTTTGAACAGATTATCGCCAGGTATCGGCGCTACCTTTTTACATACCTCGTGACCTATCTAGCCGTGGTAAGAAACACGTTTAAAAAAATATTTAAAAAAGACGTGAAAACTAGGTTCCCAGAAAACATTTAAAAAGAAAAACGCATCACACTAAAAAATAAATCCATAAATTGTGACTGCAGAAGAATTGCAGAGACGTAACAGTGGGCCTGACATGATAGTGAGGAGTGTACTGCAAGCCTTCAACAGACAACAAAATCGTGCTGCACTGCCGTTCATAGCCACCTTGTGTGGGACCACCTTGAAGAGTCCAGTGCGGGATACAAGAAACGTCGCCGCACCGACAATCTCATAAAGCGCATGCATATGGCACTAAGTGATAAGCGAATGGTACTAATAATGCCTCTCCACGCTATCAGCCACACATTATTAATACGGCCCAGATTGGCTTGTTCTATTTCCTGTAATATAGTAGGTCATCACTGTTGATGTAGAACTCCCGATAATACGTCGAATTGCGATTACTGCCCGCGCCGCTCCGGGACTTGCACAGCGCAGGTATGAAATTGGTGTTCACGCAAACAAACCTCTGAACGTACAGAGGCCGGCTTTATTGCAAGAAAATTAGAAAAAAAAAGAAGGTCGCCAGTCACACTGTGAAACGGCCGCCGACCGAACACCGGCCTAAAAGCTCGTGTAGTCCAGAGCCGGCACGCAGTGACGCCTCTTAAAGCGCTTGTTGAGAGTTTCGATTACAAGACGGACCAGTGGCACACCACCGTTCATCTGCGCCGCATGATCGCCGACGCTTCATGAGACGCGAATTAAAACGCCGAGGTGCCCGCTAATCTCATTTACATTAATTTGAACGTGCGTTCTGTCACCACGGCTTCGCAAATAACCAATTGTTTCTCTCTACCTGCAGACACCGATGTGCGCATTTCGCGAGAAATGCAAAATACAATGAGAACTCGCTTGTATAAACAAATTAGTAGCTAATGGGGGTAAACAAAGAATGGGTTACACGCGTTCTGTCACTCACAGAACCCATGTGCACGGGCCAGAGCATCCAAGAGGTGCGTCGGATGCAGAGAAATGACTCCACGTATACAGTCACTCGCTCGCTGCAAACGCACGCGTAGGTGACCGCACGCAGCAGCGCCCACATGAAAACCACAGCGACCAGAAAACTACGCTACGCACAACAAAGAACCCAAGAGTCAACCCCGCTACACTTGCCACCCGAGTTGGTGATTTTAGCTAGGCGACAGTGGTACCAGAACACACACTCTAGTTAGTAGAAGCAGCACGCTCAATGCACGGCAGGACATTTTTGCATATTTACAACAGTTTAGAGGAGATTATGGTGGCACCATGGGAGCTTTTGTCACCAGAAAAGTGCAAAGTAAAAAAAAAAGTAAAAAATGCGCCCGGTTGCGTCTTATTAAGTCGGCCTTTTTTCCCCACTTAAGTTGAGGTTAGCAACAAAATTCTAGCTTTCGAGGCTGTTACAGAGCATTTCAGTAAGTTAGCATCAAAATTCTAGCTTTCGAGGCTGTTGCAGAGCATTTCAGTGCAATTTTCGAGATTTTTATGCATTTGAAGCAGCTTGGTGCAAGAAAATGAAAATGTATAAAAAATGCATAATATGCGCAGCAGTCTCACCTCAGCATTTACATTACTTTCCTCAAGCTCCAACTACATGCTCACATTGCACACAGCACCCTTCAATTACTACACAAGTATTTTTTCTAGTGTTTTTCATACTAAAGCGTATTTAGGTAAACTACTGTTTATATTTAATGAGCCTTCTATACAACCACACTGTTGCAGTCTAAAACATGATCTTGTAACTCGGAAACGCAAATTCAAATGAGATAGGTGATGTTCAAAGATCTTGAGTAAAAATGAGATAACATCAAATGTGTTAACAAAAGCTTATGCAGCAATCGAAACAAAATACCGATTCTGAAGCTCATTCACAAAACTTCACATCAACTACATGCCATTCTAATACAACAAAAGAAATGAAATTTTAAGGAATCTTTTTTATCTTGTTGTTGTTAGACGGGACATTAATGACAACCAACCAACCATTAATGACAATCAAGCCAAGGAAAGTATGGGGGACGTTGAGAACTTGCTGTCAGCAGGCACTGATGCTGCAATCTTGGAATATTGGGTCCGATAATCTACCAATTTAGCTACGACGGTTGTCCTCCTTCCATATACTTTATATTGTATACATGTGCATGTAAGCTGAGAGTGCCAAGTCAGTGCCACTTGTAGCCACAACGGCAAGTGTGGAACACACTTATTTTGCCTGCTGGCATCAAAAAGTACATGATCTTGTTACAAGCAGGCAGCTAACCAATAAATCCCTCAATTACTACCTTAAGGCATCAAGTCTGCCAGAACAACACCTTCACTATGAATGAAGGATAGAAGTGGCAATATTAAGGGCTCGTTTTTTTTGTTACACATTTTAACAGATAATCAAGCGCAAGAAAGCATGGGGAACATTATTTGTATATATTATTGGTATATAAATGTGAAGAAATTGATGAAAAGCAGGCTTGATGCTCTTAGGTAGAGATCATTGGTTAGCACCGAGCTCCAATCAAATCAAATTTACATTTCCCCACATGCATCTCACAGATAGAAGAAAAGCGACACACACAGACACACAAATGCACGCACAAACTGCCTAAAGGTGGCTTTCTTCAAAACATTGCTTAAAATGTGTTCAAACATTGCTCAAGCATTTGTTCAAAACATTGCTTATGTAGGTGTGATGATGTGTATACAAGCTTTAATTGGTCTGGTACGATTCTCCCTGACCAAACTAGCTAAGAAACTACCTAAAAATTCTGACAAATATTCTGCAGCAACATGTCAGTCATTTTTTTTTCATCTTTTCAGCAACTTGACACTTAGTAGAACAATGAAGCTTAGTTAAAAATTACTTACTATGTCAGGATGCAGAAGAATACTCATCACAGTGTGAGAGTACACAGTGTCAATTCCTCTGCTCTCGAGTTCCCCCTATATCAAAAAAACGGTCACAATAAGATTAGTTGTCAGAAAAAAATTCGTAAAAGCTGTGATGGACATTCCGAAAAGCAAACATGGTGTGATCCTTATGCCAAGGATACTATCAGCCTCATAGACTGCAACTATCCTTCAGATATGTGATACAGTTTAACCTTTTTATAAGAGAAATACATGCAATGGGGAGCAATTTTTGCCTTTTATATGAGGTGTCTCATAAGCAGGGTACCACGTATGCATTTTCTTAGCAATTCCTATTTCACTGTAGGCACACTGGTTGGTGTCTTGTCTCTTCTAACAGCGTCTCTTATAAAAATGTTCGGCTGTATATGTATTCACACTAGCTTTCCCGGACACTTCTTGAACCGGCAACAGCAACACATATTTTAGAGAAATATACTTCCTTAGTGCGCAGGGAACATTTCAGAAGGAAGATAGAGCAGAGAGATAGGACAGAGGGCTCGGTAATATCTCTCTCCTCTATCTTCCTTCTGAAACATTCCCTGCGCACTTAGGAAGTATATTTCTCTAAAAAATGCAGTACCAACCAGCCCACGTAACCACTCTTTTGTAGCAGCACATAATTCACATGTTTTATCATTCTGTGGTTTGTCCATTTGTATGAAGCGAGCCCAAATAATCATGTCCAGTGAGCCAAAAGGTAAAAAGACAAAGCTGCCGGCAACTAGTGCGCATCAGAGGCGCAAAATGCAGTTTGGGGGTCATCAAAAACTGCTGCGTCCAGATCGTGCCTCGACCTTACACAGCAGTGAAAAATATACATGTATACATTATTACAGCTCTTTTGAGCTAGAGTGCTCACAAAGATGAAGCTGAGTTTTCTTTACTCCCCCCTTCAGTCACACTGAGCTACACAACATGCATGGAGCATATGTGCAGCCTGTATAAATCATAGTACATATATTAGAAACAAATGCCTTGTAAAATAAAAAAAAAAACATCACAACAGGTATAACAAATAGTGTGCTGAATAAACTTGAACTTTTGATACAGGTATCAAAAGCAAAGGAAGGAGAAATATGTGGAGTTATCACACTGAGTATTGCTTGTATTTTTTCATAAATCAACAAAATATACACAAGACAGCTCTGATTTTAAAAATGTCAAACTGCCTACCTCACAAAATATATACTGAAATATCCACTGTTACACTTTTTCCCCGACATAGCATAGTGATTGCACATGATTTTGCATGGTCAAAAAATGAAACTATGCCACAGTGTGTCAAACCAAAATTTGTACCCAAACTAGATCTTTGCTAGAACTTGACCCAAATCAGCTTGTGCAGGACAATGCAAATAGAAGACGATTGCGAGACACTTTGGTACCGTAGAGAACATAAAATAGACTAATGATGATGACCTCAAATTTGAATTAACATTCTTGCTACCTGGTTAAACCCAAACGTTTTTGGTTTATCATTCAGAAGAACGAATGCTTGCTTGTTACTTTGCTGCAAACTCCCACTATCAACTTCAATTCGTGTAGCAGTATGTTGACTCTCCTTGAATCTAATATCAGAGATCATGACAGACTCAAGATGACATCAAAAAATTATATATATATGGAGCACTAGACTAATTAATTGGCAAGTTATTTAAGTGAAACACTACTTTCAATTTTGTAAAGAAAACAAAGTCGGAGCTTTTGCTCCCATGAGGAATCTGTTTTGACACCTACAGCATTCACACTCGTGGCAATTCAATATCACGAGTGGTTCTGCACTGCCAGCCAACCAAATGTTTTACATACTTATAGGGTAAAGCCTGATCTTGGAAAATGGCGAGGTTAAGCAATCTTTTAGTACACTTCATATTTGCCAAGTACCGTTTAGCCCACATAAAATGGCTCCATTTAAAACAAACAATATTCGCGTGACCGTGAAAATATAACATTGTTTCAATGGCACAAAATTACAATTACAAAGAATGTCTCCGAGCGCTCTGCTGACTTCCAGGAAAACCACTTCCACCGATCAGGCATCGCCGATGTGCCCATAGATTCTTATTGTTAACGGGCCAGTCAACAGGCTTCGACTTTTATTTTTTTTACACCCCCCAAACAAGCTCAGTAATTTGTAGAGTAGACTACAGTGATCATGTTTTCTGAATATTAAAGAGTTGCACGCCATGCAGAGCCTCCATTTTAACAAAAAATTCCTGCGCTCCTTTTCTACGCCAGACCAATGCTCCTTACATTTGCAGTGACAACTCAGCGATCGGCCACATAACCTGCAACAAGCTCGTCGACTGGTCTAAACCAGGTCTCAACAAACAGTAGCGAAATCAACGACAGTTCCTGTTCCCATGCACCCACAGCTGCGACAGAGCTATTCAATCATAGGAGTTGCGAAACTCTTTATAGGCTCTAGTGCACATCGAAATCATACACTGCACTGACCCAGTTTTTGGGAGTGAGCAGATTGTTGCGTCAACTGTTGACAAGCACACCCACTATTAAGCGCATTATTTATGTTTTGTGTTGCTGTTCCCAGATTGCGGGACAGTCTGTTCCGAAAAAGACAGTCTGTTCCAAAAAAAAAAAAAAAAAAAAAAAAATCAAACTACTGAAAAATTGGGCCAACTTCACGTCTAGGTTTTGGAACGCAGTTTTGCTGCAAATCCATGTCGGCTGGAAATCGAGCGACTGGGCTACGTAGAAGCATTGGCACCAAGTAAACAGAAAACAACCAGGCATCACAGCAAGCGGAAGTGCATTGCAACTGATCGAGTTCGCCAACGACCTCAATCGATGACGTCTTGTCACACTGCCAAAGTGGGCGGAGTCACAACGGGCCACGCCTTTCTCTCCCTCTAAAAGAGAGGGGTGGCGAGGCCGCGTGAAAATTTCACACCAGCTGAACGCGATGTTCTAGCCCCTGTAACTTCTTTAATATAGCATGTGTTCACAAAGTTCTTGTGGCAGCATGTTCACGAAGTAGAAGTGCACATATCTCTCTTAACAACAAGTTTTGGACATTGGTGTTGTTTACTGGCTCTTTAAATGCGGACCCTGCTTCCGCGCCCCTCCAGTTACCCCTCTCCTCAACCACTTTTTGTTACGCACCCCTCCGTCCTTTATCCCTCCACTACTCTGAGAGCCCAGTCGCCAGACGAGGCCCGCGTTTTCACACTGCCGCCGATCTTTCGAAGACCGGCTGGCCAACTATAAACAGTTTCCCCTAGCTCGGTTTTTGATCGCTGGTACTGTTGTTGGTGTCGCCGGGCTGGAGTGACAAGACCATTTGTCAAACCTCGTCGGCCACCAACTGTATCACATTGTCTGCGTCTTGTGTCATCGTATCGTTCTAGTGCACGCTACCCTACCAACTATGATAATTCACGATGCGTTTCGTGTTTAGGAACTGTTCTCGCTCACTTTGCACTCGGCTCAGCATGCCCTCTGCACGCAAACAGCTGTTGCGTGGAATGAATCTCGAATTATCAAAGCCGGTGAGGCCACGCAAACCCGTTGGCGCAACAAAATGATTCTCTGACCTCAGTGTGCGCAGGCACTCTTAAGTTTTTCTACGCACGAGTTGCACGTTTCAAGGACCTTTCAAGCAAGCTTTCGACCTGGCTTCTTCCTGCGTGTTCTCTCCTTGCCATTTGCTAGCAAATTTGCGCTCCTCTCTTGATCACAGCTTTGCGACACCAGCCACCCTGGCTCAAATTAAGGAGTTTAGTTTTACGACTAGAAACAAGCCATGAGCTGTTTCAGACGTTCTGGCATGTGTGTCGCGTGTGCACATCTTGCTCGCTTTTGGTGTGCGTGTGTGGTATGGCAAATGGGAAGCCTTCCACGCCTTTTCTATCCGCTCAACAAAACGCCGAAAGTGTGACCGCTTGGCTTGAACGTAATCCGTGCGTTAGGTGTCATGCAGCGGAGCGCTTGCTTATAGCTGTTGACCACCTGGCAGCCAACTTGCCGCTTCTGGCGTCCCGGTATTCAGCAGTGGAGATGACGATTTCGTGGGCGGCGGTGACGGCTACATGCGTGCAAAACTGTTTTCGAGTGGCCGACTTTGTCGACGTCGGGCCCGATACCGAGCCCGAAGCTTCCGAAAAGAACTACTCTGGCGGCGATTTGTGGCAGCACGTCGTCGACTTCCGACATGGGAGAGCGGGTGGGAGATGGTTTCATTACGGCTGATGATGATGCCGACACCGCATAATTGTGCATGGGTTAGGGCATTGTGAATGAAGTACGCGGCAAGAGCGATTTGGAGGAATCTGATTGTGAGAACGACGAAACTTTGGAGCCAGTGCCTCATGCAGCTTATTCCACAGGCCTCGTCAGGCTAACGTTCGTTATAAGTGGGCTCAACTGTATAACAAAACTTGTTGTACATATGGCTTCTTCCACATACCATAAAAATGTGTTTGTATAAAATGTGACTCACTAGAGATTACAACTGTCTTGAAGAGACCATCATTACAGGGTGCTCGAGACATATGTGAATACTCTAGCCAACGCTTACAAGACCACAACTCCCCTGTTTTCTTCACAAGGAAAGCAGAAGAATTGTGATCGAGAAGCGAGTTAGGCAAGAAGATACAATCTCTGCATTGTTGTTTGCTGCGTGCTTAGAAAAAGCATTCAAATTACTAGATCTGGAAGAAATAGAACTGAAGATTAACAAAGTATCTCAGCAACTTACTATTTGCAGACAGCATTGTGCTATCAAGCAATAATATTAATTAATTGGAACGAATTATTGAATACCTCTACTGGGGAATTGTTGAAATGGGGCTGGAGATAAATATGGAAGCGACAAAGGCAATGAGAAATAGCCTGGAGAGAGAAAAAAAAGAGGTCACAATTGTTAACCAGACTCTAGAAGCTTTGCAGAAGCATACACGTCTAGGTAAATCCTTAACACAGCAGCATATTCATGAAAAGCTATTTGCCGGAGAATAAGCTATAGCAAATGAGGCAGTCATTCCCAGATCATGGCCAGTTCTACTGTGAAAAGTGTATAATCAAATTTTGGCGGTACTTAAATATGTGGTGCAGAAACTTGGACACAACGAAACAACGAAACTCGATCAGACGTTGAGGAACACATAGTAAATGATGCAGTCGAAAATCACGAGAGTAACATTCAAAGACAAACACGTCTGAGTGGATCAGAGTATAAATAAACAGGGGTTGCAAAAATTCCAGTTGACCATAAATGAAAAAATGCAGACCTTAGCATACCACGTAATGCTAAGGAGAAATAATCATAGGACAGATTGAGCAACTGAATGAATACAGAGGAACACAAAATGCAGCCGCAGCCAACGATGGCAGAGAGCGACGTGGGGCAATGAAATTTCACAAGCATAAAATGGAATCGGCTAAAGCAAGAAAGAATAAATCAGAAATCATGGCGTTTGTCCCACAGTGGATGTGCTCTTGCTGCTAGTTATGATGACAATAATGAACATACGAGACTTTATGCCCCACAATGAACATGCTCTTGCTGCTAGTTACGAGACTTAATGAGACTTTACGTACATATCAGACTTTGGGGGTGCTATGCTTTGGCTGGAAATATTGGCATGTATATAACAGACTCAGTAAAAACAAATAACAATAGAATGAGCAAAAGTAATTTCTTTGGTCAGATCTTTTTTTTTACTTTTGTTTTCAGATGAGTCTTCTCCCAGGTACTTGATTTTGCAGTTGGTGGTCATGCTGAGTATGTTCATTGCTTGGTTCCTCGAAATTACAAGGTGATTTACAGTATGCTTATGAAAGAAAGCATAATTATCCGTAGTTTTCATTTCTTATCATCTCTGAGTTAATGTTCTATATTAAAGCTATTTATGATTTCATTTTGGGGTGCTTTGACAAACATTTCAATATGGTTTTCACTGTTAGCCAACACGAAAATAGGAGTGTAGAAATAGATGCAGGAAAGTACCACACCATAAGCTGCACACTACAGCTGCCTAAAAGGGTAGCTTAAAGGGGACTCCAGTTAGAGCTACATCACATTAAGCATCATTAAATGACAGTGACCTAAAAAAAAAACATTTTGTCTCCCTGGTACCCATATCTACGTGCAGAGACATGCTGCCCTGTTTCTGTTGCCTGTGGGAAGGATGAAATTCTTTGTGCTGACCAGGTTTGCACACAGTACGAGTACTGTCAACCACAATAACCATTTATTTCTATGAATTAAATTCAACTGAAGCTATAATTGGATATTTAAAGGCTTGCTGGACCTGAATTCAAACCAAATAAGCAGGTTCTTCAGTTTGATATCCTAGACAATCAATACAGAGATGGCGAATGACCAGAGACATAGCATTTAATTTTAACTGTTTTTCACCAATATCAGCATGTTGTAATCATGCTCTTGCAATGAATGTTAAATACAGTCATGCCTTCAAGTCGCCACAATATGTGCTCATGTTTCATTGCAGTTGCACACAAGAGGATGCAAATTTGTACATGCTACAACAGCACATCAGCATGAAAAACACAGTACGAGTACTGTCAACCACAATAACCATTTATTTCTATGAATTAAATTCAACTGAAGCTATAATTGGATATTTAAAGGCTTGCTGGACCTGAATTCAAACCAAATAAGCAGGTTCTTCAGTTTGATATCCTAGACAATCAAAACAAAGATGGCGAATGACCAGAGACATAACATTTAATTTTAACTGTTTTTCACCAATATCAGCATGTTGTAATCATGCTCTTGCAATGAATGTTAAATACAGTCATGCCTTCAAGTCGCCACAATATGTGCTCATGTTTCATTGCAGTTGCACACAAGAGGATGCAAATTTGTACATGCTACAACAGCACATCAGCATGAAAAAAATGCTCAACAGAGGGTCTGGGTGTTCACTTTCTCTGCCAGGATGTCATTGTGCAGTAGGTTCACCTGTTATTTTTTTTTTGTCTTTTTCCCCCCTGCGGTGATCTTTTCCAATTGTTGGACTTTGTTCAGGTCACACTTTCAGAATCCACACACTGAAACTAAGCAGCAGAAACCTATAACTCTTAGCCTGTCCTGCTCAATATTGATGCTGAAGGTTCCTAAAACACTGAAAATAAATCTCAAAGTGAACAGAATTAACTGCTCCCAGAAGAGAATTAAGTTCATCCATTCAGACCTGAACTGGTTGTTACAAGCATGCAATGTTTCAGGTAAGTGTGCCACAAGACACTAAAGGCCTGGAACAGTCAAGTACATAAAGCTGATGATCAGTCACTTCAAACCATCCAGCCTATAGAATATGTTAGTGCCAAGCATACCTGAAACCACACTTGGATTTCCTGGGGAACTGTAATGGCTTTGATATACTTCATCCTGAAGGTGTCTAGGGTGAGCCAGAGACCACTGCATTTACAAAAATTTATTCTTGAATTTTACGTGCCAAAATTGCAATATAATTACGAGGCATGTGGTAAAAGACAGTGGAATAATTACGACTAACAAGGGTTTTAAAATGTGCACATAAAGAAAAGTACACAGATATTTCAAGTCATGTCAGATAGAAATGCGGTTACCATTGCAAAGAATTGAACCTGCACCCTCATGCTCAGCAGTGCAACATTTCAGCCACTAAACTACTACGATGGGTTGACCACAGCCTGAAGAAAATGTTGGACATTTTCACATTCTCAGAAACCTGCAGCATACTTGTCCTTAGCACATATATTGCAGAGCCAGCACAAGAGACAGCAAGAAATGTCAACATTATGCTATAAAACAAAACCACGCATCATAAAAATTATTGGAAAATTAGGCTCACATGCAGTACGAGAGATTTCTTGGACTACATTACTAAGCAAAAAAAAAGTATATGTAACAATAGATTTTTTAAAAAGTGTAGTCATCAACATGCATAACACCCTTACCAGAGGTCCCTGCTGGTAGTTACCACCACATGATGATGCGGTCAGCCACATTGACACCACGACTTTCGTGGTTAACGAACTCTGAAAATTCCAGCTGCAAGTATCCAGAAATGAAAACCCAAAACTTTTAATTAGATATAACTGCTGAAAAATACTGAGCATTTATTTTCAGCTTTCAGTTTCCATAAATCCTGACTAATAGTGAACTTTGACAAAGTAAAATTCATGTGGTATTCATATTTGACTAATAGTGAACTTTGACAAAGTGAAATTCATGTGGTATTCATATTGCACAAAGTTCAACAGAGAAATAGTTGTACTGCTATTAAAACATGTATTTTTGTAATTATAAGTAAATAAATCTTCCAAATTCTTTTTGCTTGCATGACACATGGCTTTTGGGATAAAATTTAAGTAGCATGCATATACAGTGAACAATTTAATTGGACAAATTTGCCTCAAATTTAACTTGTGATCAGCCATTTGTTGCTCTGGATCATTGGGAGAAGAAAGCCACAGCATGTGTTCAATGCCAGTGAACGACACTGAATACAATTATGATGCTTTCTGAAAAATAAAAAATCTAAAGCGCTTATTGGCAATCAGTGCAATACTGTCTCCAACAAGCATATATGAAACAGTTCAAACCCGTCAATCCTCTGCCCCACTACTCATCTCCATCTTTCCGTTCGCACCACGTGCACTTTCTAACAAGTTTTCCAGTTACTTTTTTTTCCCTTCCAAGAAACGTGCTGTGTAATTACGTCAGCATCTGCCAACTGCCAATATACCAGAAAGAAAACTTTACAGTAAAACTGGTTACATAGAACTGCTCAATAGGGGAGAAATGACATCTAATATACATAGAGACAAAAGCAACGAATTGGACAAGGGCAATATGAAACAAAATTCAAAGTGCTTAAGTTAATTTGATAGCCGCAACAAATACACAGTTATCGGAGACACACACACACACACACAAAAAAAAAAACATGCAGCAGCTTAACAAATCTAATCCGTGTACCCAATTAACATTTACACTAATGCAGTGATGGAAAAGACATTTCGCTTTTGGAGCAGATTCTGGAGTAGAAAAAAATGCTATAGCTTAGGGTTGCTATTGGGTGTTTTCAGAGCAGATGCATGTTCCTAAAGACTCCTGCAATCTAAAACACCACTTAAGCATCTAATAAATATTTACATTTATTATTAAACATGCCTTATGCTAGTATGCAGCTAGTAGTATAGTTGGCGTAAATCACAGGCGGGAGGGGGGCGGGGGAGGGTGAAGAGAGTCGGGACTTTTCTGGTGTTCATGCTGTGGAAGACACCCCTTGCAAGTGTCCCGCTTGTGATTTAGCTTTAGCACGTGATCTAATTGAGTTGACAGTTAAGTATAGCACTATGAACTTCTTAAAAATCTTTTTATCATTTACTGCATACCTATGTTAAATGCCCCTGAGCTGTGTGAACTATGAAAATCGAAAAAAAGGCATGGAAAAAAGAAATGACGGACGTTACTATGGGGAATGGCGCAAGTGGTTCAAAAATTCAATTTTCGCGTGGGGCCATGGGACAGGTGGTGCAATCTAGTGGGGCGCAGTTGAAACAAGAGCGTCTGCAATCTCGAAGACAATAGTGGGATATTGATCAATGGCCGTTGTTGCTGCTGTGGCTCCCGCTGCTTTTGGTCTGTTGCTACTGCAGTAAAGCCGGGCAACGTTGTACATGGCAATTATGACGTGAGTCGATCCGGTCTGTCTGCTTTTTGACGCGGGTAATTTGAAGTGCGCTAACCCGATGCAGAGCACTAAACGCAATTTTATTTTAAAATAGTCCCTTCCTTGGCACAAAAGTGACACTACGAGGATTCTGGACTGCCATTTCAACAATTAACTTCAACATAATAGTTGACTTTAGTGTACCCCCCCCCCCTTTAAGGTACTTTAGTCTGCCTATGCATCATGGGTATTAGCAACTACTTTAGGCAATATAGACAGTGCCTCGATTTAAATAACATTTTATCACCACGTTTCAATTGCAAGCACTGGTATACTGACAGAAGAGAAAGCATCAGTAAGCATGAGAGACGAAAACAGGAAATTTGAACTGCTGATGCTGTCTTCAAGGACTCCAACTGCAAATAAAAGCCATTATTGAATACACCAACAGGATCGAGCAATTTCACAGCTGTTCTACATCAGATCGAAATCATTTTGGTACCAGTCAAGCAGGAAAGACCCAACCGACAGCTTAAAAGTTGCCTAGATGAAATGAACAAACTCAAGTGAAAGAGGACTTGATAATAATCCTTGAACTGCTGGTTCGTCAACGAGGCAAGTGCCTTTTTTTTTTTTTTTTACAATGTCACAAGCAGCTGGACTATCTTTGAGAGGCTTCAAACCAATGACAAAAACCTCACAAAAAATATTACCTGGGGTTTTACATGCACAAGCCACAATTCGATTACGAAGGATGCCGTAGTCAAGGGCTCCACTGATTTCGCATAGGTGTTGTTTAACGTGAAACGACATCGCACGATACACAGGACTAACATTTCACCTCCTTTGAAATGTGACCGCTGTAGCCAGGAGTGAACCCGTGATGTTTTGGTTAGCAGCTGACCATTCTGACCACTGATCCACCTCGATAACCTCCCCCCACCTATACCCTTGCTTTCGATGTACAATAACGAAATGTCCCAGGGTATGCAACTACAAACAAAAGGTATCTTGCTCGAGGTTAAGGCTGCCATGCGCCCAATATGTGTGATTGACAGATTACTCGGAACAAGTATATAGTCTTATTATAACCTTTGTAACAAACATGCAATACTCATACAATTCACGAGCTAACCCTGGTTCCTTTAGACATTTTATGCAAGCAGGAAGTAAAAAAAAAACAAAAAAAAAGAAAAACCTTCCAGGCTATATGCGCTATGCCGGCGAAGCATATACCTCCTTAGTAATTTACAGAAACAAGGACCTTGCAATTAGTGCTAGCGAAAATCCTGCGGTGAATATTTCGCACCAACTTATTACTATTTGGCCTGTCAAGAAAGGTAGACAAAAATGCATTCTTATAAATGTCTACAGTCCACCGAGGCACAGAGTGGCAGATTTTTATGGTCTTGTGCATGCTCCTATAGCCATGGCCTTGCACAGAGACTCTCTCATTCTTCTAGGAAACTTCAACGCGGCGCACCCAGAATAGGGGTACTTAAAGGATGCCGCCACACGAGAACGGCTACTCCAAGCCACAGAGCAACACAACCTCACCCTTGTGAACCTCCCAAACTCTCCCACTAAAATAGGAAACAGTGTTGGAACATGAAACAACACCAGATCTCACCTTCGCTAACGCTGATCAACGCACCACCTGGCAAAGACTTGAACAGACCACGGGAAGCGATCATCATATTATCAGTACCACTGTTTTCTGTTTTGCGAGCAAGATGCGCAGACCACTGGGCAAAGCAAGAATCATGGTTTAGGATAAGTTCCGAGAAAGGCAACAGGACTGGTATCAAGGCAATGACGTGCCAAAAAGTGCGGCGGAGTGGGAGCACATTATGAAGTCTCTATAAGGGAGTCTCCAAGACCATCCAGACGACACAGAAAACACTGGCGGTTGACCCACATCTCCTGCACTTGTGGGACGCCCGTCACAGCCTCATAAAACGCCTGAAAAGGCAGCGGGCAGTGTAATAACAGGACGCTGTGCAAACCGATTCAGAAAGTGACAGATGCGGCAGCGGTATACACGAGTACATTATGTACGAATAACTGGCATAGCTTTTGCGGCTCGTTGCAGGGTACCCTCGAAAATAAGAGGTCATGGAGTATTTTACGCAGCATGCTAGACCCTGTGGGAACACATACAGCAACCACAAATACCCTCACCAAACTTGTGTGAGAGTACAATGGTTCGGAGGAAGAGCTGTTTACGCAAGTAAAATGAGCCTACACTGGTACCAACGATAGGGATAATGTCAGGATAACATCCGTCAGTGCATATCAAAATCCTGCAAACCCTTCCTTGGACGCCGACAGCAGTATTTCGGAACTTTATGCTATTGCATAAGCTTTTCGAAAAACACAGCCCAAGGACCAGTCTGGATAACCAACGCAATGCTGTGAAATTAAGTGACCGAACCCTCCAACAGCTCACAGACTATTTTAACACAGACGTCTGGTCCTCCCCAGATGGAAGTATACCGCAACGCTGGAAGGAGGGAACTATTGTACTCATTTGAAAACCCGGCAAGCAGCGGGACTTGAATTCAAGGCCAATATCCTTTACGTCGTGTTTCGAAAAGCTCTTTGAGAGAGTCATCCTCATGCGCCTGGAATACCACGTTAAGCAACATGGCCTCCTGCCAGATTCAATGATTGGTTTTCGGAAAGGCATATCCACCCAAGATGTCTTCCCAGTGCTTCGAAAGAAAGTCCTCAATCCTCCGCCGGGTAGTCTAGACAGGATCCTACTCGCGCTAGAGATCAATATGGCTTTTGACATCGTCTCTCATGAAGCAGTCCCTGCAAGGCCTTCAGGATATTGGATGCGGTGAATGCATATGCAAATGCTTACGGGACTTTCTGACTGGCGGTACTACCACGATTGGTTTGGGCACAACACACTCTCCACTATACAGCTTTACGAACAGAGGAACCCCACAAGGCTCCATTCTTTCTCCACTCCTCTTTACTCTCACCATGCGAAGAATGGTTCTCGACTTACAGGAGGTTCTCGACTTGGGGCTTTGCCATTTACGCATATGTTACTACATGCAGGGAAAATAAGGGCTTGTATGAAAAAAATAAGCTAGATGTTTCAAAGTGCGATTAACATTATATACAGCCCCATGAAGAAAATGAAGATGGCTTGTTTGGCGGAGAAATCTGCGTACATTCATGTGTGACCAAAGTAGACCCGGGCTTATAGATCCCCAGAGCTCCTAGCAGGCAAAACGATCAGGAGATTAACTCAGCTTTCAATTCTCGGTATGCACGTCTATGAAATGGGGAGCATCGCGCACACCCTTGCGAATCTTGAGTGCACTGTGAGGAGTATCACCAACCTCTTCGGTCGCTTTGTTCGCAGCAGAAAAGGCATGCGCAAAGCTGACACCTAACGGCTAGTACACGCCTTCGTATTAAGCCGTATCACTTATGCACTGCCTTATCAAGCAACCCATAGGACAGACATTGAGCAAGAAGATAGACTCCTTCAAATTGCTTGCAAGGCAACCCTTGGGCTGCCGCAGAACTCCAGCACCACAGCTCCGTCTCAGCTTGGGATGCTGAATACGTATGAAGAATATACAACAACTAACTACCCTTCTTGCGCAGCGTGAACGGCTAAACACCTTACCACAAGGACGGCCTATACTGGCCAAGCTTGGCCTTCCTCTCACCCCGCAGTACAGTGGAGATGGTACAGAATCGCTCCCTCCGACGGCACGCTCGCAGATCCACGTGGCACCAATACAGCATCACATGCACTCAGTCTTCCACAGTGCCAGAGGCCAAGCTCGTGCACGGAAGCTTTGCAACCACGGCACTGATCCTGACATGTACTATACGGACGCCCGCCCTAGTGACACCATTACAGGGGGGTTGCGCATGTAAACGGCAGTGGCCAGTAATACAGGAAAGCTTGTGACAGCAGCAAATGTGCGCACATCTTCCGTTGCAAGACCGGAGGCCGCTGCAATCACCCTGGCTGTCACAGAAACGGACAAGTAAGGTACGAACTCCAGTATCTTCCTGAATTCAGAAACAGCATGTCGACTTTACATGCACGGCACAATACCACGAACTGTTCTAAGAATCCTCGGCTCACAATCTGACCACGGCATTATTTTGTGCCCGGTTCATATAGATTTTCCCTGTAATAAACAGCCCGACTGACTCGTTCGTGCAAGTACATATCGAGCGACGGACGTGCCTGTAGGCGACACTGTATCCCCCGACTATGATGGGCGACCAAGCGGTCGAGCGGACATTCTCGAAGCTCAACGGCTCGAGCGACACACTATGGTGCCACCTCACCTAAAACTAAACAGAGCACAATCGAGAGACTGGCGCTGTCTTCAGACAAACAAGTACCAAACCTACACACACTTTCTAAGATATACTCTTCCGAATTCCAAATATTAAGATGAGTGCCCCAGGCGCGGAGGGGTACCCACACTTATACACATTACATACAGCGGTCCTATGTGTCCTGTTGCAGCAAACTCGACGCGCATAAGAGCACGTTATTACACTGGTCATGAGAGGAGTGACACTCGGATCAGGCCTTGGGAAGCCAATTCGCAACCCTGCACTAGGCCCGGCGAGTCGCTACAGCCAATGAAGCTCTGGACGAAGGGCCGCACCCATTTTCGTTACCGCCAGTACTAATAAACGTTTATTCTCTCGCAACAAGTATAAGGCTTCCTAAAAGACTGTGTGAGCAAGCCAAATGAATGCGAAACTAGAGATAAAAGTGCAGATGGTAGAGTTGAAATGGGGACAGATGTCGATGCTACAGTACCATAAACTATGTACTTTATCTGAAGTCGTTAAGGCAGACCCGAACAAGAACAAGCACAACCACGTCGCCCTTGGTGTTCTGTTTTTCGTCTTTTCCTGGTCAGTTTTTTTTTTTTTAGCTGCACTAGCTCACTATCACTAGAGAGGAAGTCTCGAGTATGTTAAAAGTGGCCAGAAGCAGCCTACGAAGCCGTAAAATGCATGTGACAAGTATTGCAGTCTCAAGTGCTTTTAATAAGCGACGCTCAAGTGTTGGAATTCAAGTACACAAGTTTGAGACGGTCAACTGAAACCGTATCTTTGTTGATAGGCAGACAAAACTGTTTAGGTGTGCGTTTGATAACCTTAAACATGTTATCATACGAAGGCTGCATGGAAGGTCACGCGGCACTGTGTTGCACGAAAATGTGCGTGCAGTGTTGTACAGTTGAATCCTGCTACAACGAAATTGACGGGGCGGGGGCAAAATTTCGTTATCGCGGAAATTCGTTGTCGCGATATGATGAAATACATACGTGACACGGGACTTGCTGAAGCAAAAGAACAAGCTTTAATGCCAAAAATCGCTCAACTTCGCCTGTTTCCGCTTCTTGCCAAGCGATGGCACAACACGACTTTCGCACGCTGCCAGTAGAGCCATTGCTTCATCGTCGTCCTGCGACCCAATGCAACGCCTGATGATATCGAATGCGTCCAGCACCTGTGAAGTCGGTGGTAGTGCGGGATCACGTTGCGCGATTGTGTCATCATCGTCCGACGAAACACTATCTTCCTGGACGCTCTTTATGATGTCTGCGTCCGTCCTTTCCTCGTGCACCACCAAGCAAGAGTCAGCTTGCAAGAACTCGCTGATATGTACGACGGCGGGCGGGCACATCACTTTCCTGCAGGTCTGCCCAAGCGACTGCGATTTCTTCGTCCTGGTCCAGCAACCTGTCCTCATCGCGGTCTGTGTCGCCATCGTAAGCCTCAATCGCAGAATCGGAAGTCTCGGCGCACTTTACTGCGAATCCGGCATGGCGAAAGCAGTTCGCGACTACGGCGCTCCCCGTCTCGCACCACGAAGCAGCGATCATTTGGAGCGCCATGAACAAGTCGATTTTCGTTTCGCGACCCAACCGAGTGTTTAAAATCAGCCTTTGGATAAGGCGCTTGCGGTACGCGCACTTGACGCTTTGGATGACCCCTTGGTCGAGGGGTTGAATGATGGACGTGCAGTTCGGTGACAAAAACTTGAGCTGCACGTTCTCGAGCTCCGTGTCCTCAATGGAATGTGCGGAACAATTGTCTAAAAGCAGACAAACCTTGCGGCCTTGCCTGCCCATGTCCCGGTCGAATTCCTCGACCCACACTCCAAAAATTGCACGGGTCATCCACGCCCGGCTGTTGGCCACGTACTTCACTGGAAGGCGCCGATTTCCTTTGAAGCAGCGCGGTTTTGCGCTTTTGCCAATGACCAAAAGAGGTCGCTTATCTGATCCGTCCATATTGGCGCACAGTAGCATGGTGATCCTTTTCTTGCTGTGTTTACCTCCTTGACAGCGCAGCCCCTTAAAATCCAGGGTCTTGTTCGGTAACATTTCGTAGAATAGACCGGTCTCATCGGCATTGTATATGTCCGATGATGCGTGGTCCTTAAGGATGCTTCCAAGGCTGGCCGACATCCACGCGGCGGCGCCGTCTTTATCCGCCGAAGCGGCTTCACCACACAACACTTTGCCGATGATGCTGTGGCGGGATTTAAATCTGTTTAGCCAACCTACGCTGGCCTTGAAATCATCAATGCCGAGCATGCAGGCAAAATCCATCGCCTTCTGCCGTACAATATCGCCGCTAAGGGCAATTTTCTTGGCCCGCGTCTCCACGAACCAGGTGTAAACAGCCTGGTCTAAGGCTTCGTGCACTGGCTGGGTCACCTTCTTATGCTTAGCGGACGTCCCTGAAGCTAGAGCTTTGCCTATCGCGTCCTTGCTCTTCAATATAGTTGACAGAGAGCTCGCCGCAATCCCGAACTCTTCAGCGATGAGTGCCTTCTTCTTTCCAGCTTTAGCCTGTGCGATGATGCGAGCCTTGTTTTCGAGCGACAAAAACTTTCGCTTTTTCACCGGCTGCACCATCGTTGATTGCGTTACTGCACCTTCGGGAAACAATCAAACAATGACCAAAGCGTGCGATCGCTCGTTGTGAAGAAGCTAGCCCTAGTCAAGCCGCCGGAAGCGGAAGCCGTCGTCCGAACGCATCGTCGCACTCTACCGGGATTTGCCTCGCATCTCCAATTTTGTACGTACGTACGTACACATAAATTGGAAATTCCTGACATTGAAACCATTCTCACAAACGTTATAAAAATGATTAAAAATACTATGAAAATCAAATTAATGCGTGTTGTTTGTACACAGACACGATTCAAAACGTTTCCGACGTTTCTTCTGAATCTACATGAGAGCGTGTTGCATTGATTGCATCGCCATCACTATCGCGGTATGCACGCTCTGAGCAACATCTTGTGTGTGTGTTTTTTTTTTTAGATGTTATTAAGGTCAATGGTTTGTCAAGGCATTAAAACACTTTTGAGAATTTCAATAAGCTGTAATTTGAATAATTTTGCTCGTGCCTGTCCCGCAAAAAACTTCGTTGGAAGTGGAAATGCTGCCGTGAAGTAGTTCGTATTGGAGGGAATTTCGAAGCATTATACCCTATGGGACATCGACGGGGAATGGAAAAACCTTCGTTGTGGCGGAAATTTCGTTGAAGCGGACTTCGTTGTGCCGGGATTCGACTGTATGTCAAAGCTGACATATTCACTATGTTCATCGTGGTAGTGGGAGAACTATGGTACGCATAGAATGTCGTAGACTGTATATGTAGTCAAATACTTTTGCAGGTACTGTAGGCTAGTTGCTGAAAAATTCACTAGGAACTCGAAGAGTGATGCCAAATGCCAGCTTTGCAGCGCTTACGGAGGAGTCCCAACGAAGAGACATGTGGATGCCAAGCATAATGAAAGGAATGTGTTGGTCCAAGATGAAGAAAAATTAGAATAGTGCCTTCAGCTGGCAATGAAAACATTTGACGACTCCATTGGCGATTGGTTCGTACGAAGTAGTTTTGATATGTTTAACACAGAGGAGCCGAGATAGATTTGTGATTTGCAAACAACCCTGAGTCGAACTGGCAACCTCGGTCAGTTATAATGGTGGAAGGAACGCCGTAACACCATAGCAATTAATTCACGAAATGACGAGTGCTCAAGCTGTCGACAGTGCAGTTATGTTTTGAAGAGGCATCACTTCAAGCCATCTGGTTAACCTGTCAATGCAGATTAAGGGGTAGTGATCATTCCCGCATGGAGGAAAGGGACCGACAATGTAGGCGTGTAGATGGCTGAAGTGAGCATCCGGTGAAAAGAATTTGCCAAGAGGCGACAGAGTGTCGATGCAAACTGTTGGCACCTGATTCATGCATGTGATCAACGACGAACATGTCTGTTAATGCTCGGCCACACATTGCGAGAAGTGATGAGCCGCTGTGCAGCATGAATGCCAGGGCGTCAAGGACTGCTTGACAAAAAGAGAGGTACGTAGGGGCGAGGACATCCTCTAGCCGTGCGGAAACGGATGTCCATGCTGCGATACCACGATCTAAGTATTTTATCTAAAGCCATTTAAGCAGACTCGAACAACAGGCGCAACCATCTCATGCTTGGTGTGCCATCGTTTTCTCCTGGTCGGATTCTTGTGGGCTGCACTAGCGCACTACAGTTGAAATGAGGCTATAAAACCTGGTTATTCCGCACCGAGTACAACCACTGAAGACCATAAGCTCACTACACTGTTACAGATGCCGCCTATGCTCTTGGCAGAGAAATCCCACATGGAGAAAGCATTCTATGCTAACTGTGAGCAGCTCATCAAGGCGTAGGAGGCTGTATTGAGACAAGTTGAAGTTCAGAGTAACATAGCGCAGGCAGCATCATTAAAAGCCAAGATGGCAAAGCTGGCCAAGCTGCGATCAAAGTTGCATGATGAAAAAATGGATTGTGAACAGGAATGCAGTAACAATGTGACCAAGCTGAGGGAACTTCAATTTCTGCTTTGTGAGGAGTGAAAACATTGTGAGAAATTGGAATATTATGAAGAAACCTGCTCAAGCAGGCTTGAAGGAGTATAAGTCAATAGCTGACTGAGGAGTTGAACGAGTGTGGAAGTGGCTGCTTTCTTCAGAAGGGAAGTTACATCAGGCAATAATAAGGAACAAGACTAAAATGTATAAGAGTAAAGAAAGAAACAGCCAGAACGCGTTGTGGAATATCTGCATTAACAGACAACAGGAAGTGAGGTGCGACTGGATAGCCTCGATAGCGCTCTAGAGGAGCTGCCCAGGAAGTGAAAACCTACAAGAAAATATACATGCAAGACCATGTGGTCATTAAGCGGTTGAAAAGGAATCTCTTAAAGCTTGCGAACGAAGACGCATCCTTTGCTAATACTGTGGGCATCAAGGCAAAGGTGGTAGACCTCCCTTAGCAGAATAGCACCCTAGACAAGAAGACATTGCTGGACTGTTTTGGCAAAGAGTGTCTGTAAGCAGAAGAGTCCAAACAGCAGTCTGAAAAGCCTGTTGACCTGATTGCCAACTTCTGCAAGCTGGTGAAAAAGAAGGTACCCGGTCTGCGCACCAAGTGGAGAGAAGCTTCATAGATTGGTCAGCTTTAACAGTAAAAGGCTCAAAACGACAGGGTAAGGCAGCACTGATAGCTCCATGGTGTAAATGAAAACCTTTATTGAATACACTATTAGGATTGAGCAATTATAAGGCTGTTCCATGCCATATCCCATACAACCTTATTGCCTAGCATCCTACAAGCATCCGTGTGTTGACATACACACAATAAATACACAAATTTTTCACAAAGATGACGGGTGAACCCTCAAACATGCACACTTTTACACCCCTGTCTACCCCCAGGTTTCTTCAATCATACCAAATACAGAACTGTTTCGAAACACGAACATTAACATTGTCAGTTCTACAACAGCCTGTACATTGTCCCGCTATGTGGGAGCAACATTACAAAACACTAAATTGCCCCGGTGCCATCACTGTGCACACTCTTCGCAAGCTGCTCATTGTAACACGCAGCACTGGCGTCGTCGTGAAAATCAGCAGACCTCTGCAATTTTGGCCGATGGCGTATCTGGATTTTGACACATGGGTACAGTTGAGAATTTTGCAACTCGAATGATTGAAAAACTCATCTACCCCTACACCCACATCCATTATTGTTGGCACTTAGACAAAACTTTGCCAATCTCCAGTCTTACGACCTGTTGAATGTATATCTTATTTAACATCATAATATATCAATGTAAGGCAAAGTGTTTCAGCTTAGAACAATAGAAAGTTCAGCTAGTTTTACACAGATTCCTCATGGAAGAAGGTTAAGGCATTCAGACAAGAAGATATCCAGACAACACAACGCTGACTATCAACTGTGAGTTGTATGCCCCGAGTTGATCACTGGGGTTTGTGCTGTCTGGTTCACTTCTCGTGTCCATGTCTGCATGGCTCACAGTTTTTTAAAATAGTGTTTCATGTGGGTAGAGCCAAGAAGTGCAAATAAAAGTTTGTTACCAACAGTGTTAGAGGCGTTACAGAAGAAAAGTAACTAAGTATGTTAATGATCATGTTTAGAGAAAAAAAAAGACAACACGTTACCACACAATGTTACCTTAAAGAAAAAAAAAAAAAAGCAACACACTACCCCTAGTGCAAAACCATCTGCCATTACTTCAAGGTCAGAAATTTAGATCAGTGCATCTTGGTAGTAGAAACCCAAAATAACGAATTTATAAAGGTATTACCGATGAAAATTCTTGCCCCCCCCCCCCTCCCTTCAAACAAAAATTTTTCCTCAAAATATCAGTTCAGCAAGAAAGGCAATAGTTTAGTAGATGGAAGGTTGAAGAGAGAAGAATTCGTGAACATTGGGTGTTGATGAAGCAGACCTTTGCCACATTGCAATAGCCTAAGGTTGCCTGTATTGCATGTGACTGTCACCCTGAGGCACAGTTATTTTTCTTAATGTGACATCAAACACAAAATGAGATTTCATCATAAACGCTCTCGGCAAAGATAGCATCAATGAAGCCGCAACGTGTTTAATGTACTTCTGATGGTATGCTTCTACTAACAAATCCATGAGAAAAAAGAAGTGCAAAACAGAACAGCAGGCCCAGTAATATGTTGTACATTTCTTATTTACAATGGTTAGAGTGAAAAAAAATTTCTTTGTCCCCCTAACCTGTATACTAATTGAGACAATTGTGAGTGTTTCTGTGAAAGTAATCAAAGTCAGTTTTTGCAAGAAAGCAGCTCATCTGAAACGGACATTTCCTTCGACAGAACATCAATGACATGTTCAAAAGGCAAGTTAGTACCACAGGATGTACTTTAAGTGCAACAATTTATGTCGCAGTTGTCCTTGAACTAATCCTATGGATCGTTCTGAGCACACAAAATCCTATTACAATCAACTTCATGAGCACCAAGCACTACAGCCTAGCTTACTTCCAAGCCCACATGACTGATGTCACCCAACTACCAATCGTACTTTTATCAATCATAATTTAAATTCTTCCCCGCCACTGTGGTCTAGTGGTTATGGCACTCAACTGTTAAACAGAAGGTTGCGGGATCGAAGCCTGGCCCCGGCGGCTGCATTTACGATGGAGGCGAAAATGTTTGAGGCCCGTGTACTTAGACTTAGGTGCACGTTAAGGAACTCCAGCAGGTCGAAGTTTCTTGAACCCTCCACTACGGAGTCCCACATAATCATATAGTGGTTTTGTGATGTTAAACCCCAGATATCACAGCGAGAGACGCGGCACCGTAGTTGTCCGCCGACACCGCTGGTGTCCTTAACTATTTCACAAAGTAATAAAAAAACTCAAAGAACAAGGATATAGTGGGATTCAAACCCGGGTCCACTGCGTGCCAGCTCAGTACTCTACCGCAGATCCACGCTGATGCTTGGGACTCATTCGCAAGCTTGCCTTAATTTAAAATACCTCTGTCGCATGGCAAATCTAACGCCATTTACAACGAATAACATTAAGCGGACCTAATGCCATTTTGAAATGATGACCATGACCTTAGCCCTCCTGAGCCGTGGATATTGGGAGAAATAAATACATACTAAAACTTGCATGCAACATGCGTGTATCCCCAAAAATAATTTTTATAGGTAAAAAGATGCTTCCAGAATATGAACACAGCTGTTTTACACAACTTGCCACAACTGCATTGCACACTCGAAAACTAAAGTGGCCGGCGATATTATCGGTACAGTCAGCTCAAGTGGGGCGCACGACTGACGTCCCGACTGCATAAATGTGACGGAGACAGCGATTTCCTGTAGTCACCACTTTGGTCACCCAAACATGTGCAATAATCGCACAATTAACATCTGCGATACAGGCAACAACGACAACAGAGCAAAAATCAAACATGGCCGGCGTCCAGTCGCTGTAGTTGAGGGTAGTTATTTTTTAAGAAACTATCGTGCATGCCTTTATGTCATCAAACCAGTAATAAGTTGATCAAGTAAATAATAAGCTATTTACAAATAATAAAAGTTGCGTATACGTAAGTTAACACTTATCTCCCTAAGGCCCAAAAAACGAAACGTTCCTTTCCTTTGACCGCGTCCTCTCCTTACGTGAGGCTTCCTTACAACCAAGTACCGATGGAGGAAGCAAGCGTACTCTGAAAGCTCCCTTAACCCGTCCTCGCGGGAGGAATGGTTGCCGCGCTCCTGCGTTCGAGATTATCGAATATAAGCTTTGCTCACAAGCGTTCATTCTGTAAAAAAAAGTTGGGTCACCACATCACTTCCAAATTGAAGTGTTAATATAGAGACGCGTGTACGCTTTCTTCAAACTACGATTACTGAATGTGAAAAGCCGCTGTAGTTGAGCGCAAAACGTGGTGCATTCTAGCAACACTGAAACGCCCCACGGAGGAAGGAAAAAGGTTTCCTTTCCTTTCTCCGTGGTGCAGTGCACGCACGCTCGCCGCTCGCGTCTCCCCACAGGGGTGGGGTGAGAGGGTTGCCTCGAAAACGAAAACATCACGTGGGCTAGCTGTGAGGCAAAGCGCTCGTTCAGGGCAAGGAGCGGACCTAAGGGCGCACGAAGGTAGCCCCAAAGCAACCTTAAGCTGAGGAAGCGCCAAGGAAGCCTTCACCGAGGGCTCCTTAGTGAGGAAGCTTTCAGAGTGACATAAGGCGGCCTCACAAAAATGAAGGCTTCCTTACTGAGGAAAGGAACGTTTCGTTGTTTGGCCCTAAACGTCCCAGGTGTCGAGAGTACTCATTCGGTACGAAATCGACGGCGAATGCGTTTGGGGCACTCATTCGTCCGAAAATGTCATTTTCAACAAATGGCATTCGCTGTAAATGACATCGTTACCGAGTGACATGGGTTAGGCTTGATGCCGGGAAAGGAATTGCTTTAGTAATAAAGCGTATTAGAACAGCAGAAAAACAACCAGGTGTCACACAATGCGCATTGCGTGACATCCGACGCTCCAACCCATTACAAAAGCTTGTTAATCACCTATTAACTGTGGCACATACCCACTTCAAGCGTAATTCTTCGTCGTCAGCCACTGCACGAAACACAACATTCGCACGAATCTCGTTGCAAGTGTTGAGCAGATACCACACTTCTAAGAATGACAAAGGATAGCACAGTGAATGCCGGCCTACTACACAGAAATTACGATTATTCATGGCATGGTGGGTACCCAGAAAGTGTGCCAGCTTTGACAAAGCACCTCCGGGCGCTGCGTCTCCGTCCTATCCGACAACGGCACCCTCGAAAAGGCTCTGAAAGGCCGCTCTTCCAGCTTTCGCTGTGACTGTGCTGCGCGTACCACTCAGGCCTGGCGATTTTTATTTTAATTTAAGTTCCTAAGTGTGATCGATGCATTGAAATCAAGTTCTACATTTGGCACACTAGAACAAAGCGATGGCACCCAATAAATAAGAAGCCAAAATATCAAGAAAACATGCCTCACATTATTACAATGTATTCTTTTGCAGGATCACATGTGCGAGTACTACAAAAGAATGTTTAACTAGAGAATGCATCAGTCGTCTGCAGCTGAAGATGCAAAATACCATTTTCCTGTTCATTCCACTCATTTTACTACATCAAGGGGGAAAATATGTCAGCTACTGCAGTGGGGTCTCGATAGGCCTTTGCATGATGGAAGCCTCCACTAAAGATCACAATATTTGGGCGCGACAACAAGACGACATACATAGTGGCAATGCAGCAGAGTCTTCTTTCGATCAGTTCCCAGAACATTAAAGTGTACAGAATCTGCTCGCTTAACAGGATACAAGTCGACCTGCATTGCGCTTTAATGCAAACTTCGCCCGGGTACAAAACAAAGTGGGGCTACAGAATGATCTATCTACATTAACCTAGGCACTTCTCTGAGACGATCACTGTGGCATTCAAATGTTGAATAATTCCAGTTGCAATTAAAATTTTGCTGGAACTCGGTTTGAGTAACATGACTCAGAACAATGATGAATCTAAGCTACACTTCGAATGCGCAAATAGAACACGGTGCCCAGAGGCACCCCTACAAAGATTAGACAATTTATCTCCCCGCGATAAGTGGCCTAAGGTTTAGGAACTCTTGACGGCATTCGACGCTAAGACGCACGACAGAGCCAAATATGTTATGTGTACGATGAAATATCGAATAAGATAGCTATGTACGATTGTGAAGAGCACGCAGGAGTGTCCGCACGTTAGTTGGACACAATCTGATGTGGTTTCTACAGCAAATCATTTATTGCAGAGAACACAAAGAATAATCCCTGTATTCAGAAACGCTACTCGACTTGAACTTGACTTGCCCCCGACATCAATGCAGCAGAAACGCGTTTCGAACGCGCTGTCTTTAGGCGGTGCCAAGGCAGCACAGACGCGTTTCAAACGCGCTGCATTGAAGGGAGTTTCAAGTCAAGTTCAAGTCAACGAGTGTTTATGAATACGGGGGTTAGATTATCGATTTCAAGCGGGTGGATCAAAATAGGAAACAATCCTACAGCACGCGTCGGAGAGGTAAGTTCGACGTACAATGAACTCCATAACGCCGAAAATGGGTTCTTTTAGGCTAATATACACATATATCTCGGGAGCATTTGCAACCCCGCAACAATATTAAATCATGTAGTACTGCACAACCACGATGTTTAACTGAAGTAACAACGCACACAAGAGCAGGAACGCACATGAATTGTCATGCCTAACGTAGTATCAGGGCAGTGAACGACCGAGGTTATTCTCCGCACATTCCGCAAACACCCGACAAAGAACCGAACGCGGAGATGACAAATCGTACCTGGAATCAAGAGAAATGAGAAAAGAGGCGCAATATTATGTGCATTAGACGTTCACATATCTGAAACGCTACGGGGGTCCACGATAAGGAACGCGCAGTGAACTCCTCGAGCGCAGGCCGGTATAAGGCTTTGTTCATTAATCCCTGCCATCAGAGCTCCGTCAACTGCCGCGCGATGAGCATTGCACAATCTACTAGGGACACATGCAGAATAATTAATCGCTCGCTTGCCTTCGAAGAGGGTTCCATGGGAGGAAGAACCGGTAGGACACTCCGCCATCCACTCACTCAGCCGCCAAATGAACGAGCGACTGACGGCAAAGGTAAAAAAGACCGAAGTGCCGCAGCCGAAAGGCTCGTGCGCACCCGCCGCGTGAATATGCGAGCGTGCCTTCGTGCAGAAATAAATATTCGATCTAGAAATATTATTTCACAAAAAAAAAATAACAGTCGTGACAACAAACGTCGCTTTTTGACACCATCGCAACAAACGGTCGCTTTTTGAAGGCTAGATATCCCGTACGTTTCGGTTTCGGCCGCAGCGCCAAGTGCGGGTGCGCTTGAACGTGAGAGGAAACCCGAGCTTGCCTTCCCTTGGCATGGTGCTCCTCGGTTGACGTTTTCACTATATGTGGGCGTCTCTTTATTTTACTGCTCACTCTGCGAAAGTAACCGTAACACGGCGTGTTTGTGTTGATTCACGCTTGGAGGAAGAAAAAGAAACAACCTAGTTCAATGTGGGTGTGAGCCTCACAAAATAGGCGAAACGCACTGAATCCTGCATTGCAGCGGTGGGCGCTGGAGTATTGCGTAAAAGGAGCGAAAACCTGAGTGGTCGACATTACACGTTAATGTAAGTATTTACTTGAAATCCAAAGCAGCGTGCACGCATACATAAGAGAACTGAGATATACATATATATATATATATATATATAAATTGGTACCTATGCACTGCTCAAATATGAACTTGACCTTTAGTTCGCAATAATAAACCGCGAACACTTGGCGACTGTAATATATTAAGTGCATTCAATTAACGTTCTGTTCGAGTGGTTAACTGTGCGCTTGGTGTGGAATTCGCCCGAATTACCTCCTCTTTTTTTTTTCTTTATGCAGCTGTAATGTCCTCCGGGCTCATGCTCTGCACGAAGTTGGCCGATGTCGCTGAATAATGAGTGTAGGCTTTTCATCCAAGCCCAGCTCCTGCATGCATGCGAATATCCTACTTCTTGCGGCCTTTTTCTGCCATACGGTACAGAGTTTCAAGCCTGACCCTGCTCACTACAACACACCTCATGAAGCTATCGAGTATATTGCATGGAAAGCTTTAAAAGAAGGCAAGCCTCCGTGTGTCACAGTTCATCCCATAGGAATCAGCCTTTTCTGCATCATGGGACAGTGTGTCCAGGGTGAAAATGGAAGTTCTTACTGCCAATGCAGCCAGCATTTTACGGGACTGACATGTTCAGTCTACAAGGGCAAGTGCACATCAGAAAGCATTTGTGGTCCCCACCTGTGTCAAGACAACCCCAACAAAATTAGCTTGTACGAGTGTGTGTGCAAGCCAGGCTACCATGTTCCTGAGAGCCCAGCATTCTCTCACTGTGTACCAGACAGTATTCTCAGTAGTGCTATTGAAGAGATGTACAGTGAAAGCTCAACAAATACAACTACACAGCCATCGACAGCAACTTACATTGAAAAGCTTGACAAAGCAAGCATGCTTCTGAACATCTCTGTGAAGAATACCAGAACTTCTTTGATGCCTGTTACAATAGAAAGCAATGCCTCTAAACCAGCAGTTGTATGTGAAAGCTTAGGATTTGACATCCATCCTGCTCAGAAGAAAGAAGAAAACACGGCAGTAGATGCCTTCAGAGCAGCACTCCAAAATACTACTGGGCAAGATGAGCCAGCTGAATCCACAGGAGTCATGGAGACCAACAGCGATGGTACTGTCCTTGAAAATCAACTGCACCATGGAGCTGACAGTGCCTTCACAGCAGCACTCCAAAATACTACTGGGCAAGATGAGCCAGCTGAATCCGCAGGAGTCATGGAGACTAACAGCCATGGTACTGTCCATGAAAATCAACTGCACCATGGAGCTGACAGTATTAAAGGTCAAGACCAAACCAAGGAACGAATAGAAGAGAATTTAACTAAATACCATGTGGGTTTTGGCAGTGGAACCGTTACAGTAGCATTATCAAACAACAGAGGAGTGTACAAAACCAAGGAAAAAACAGAAAGAAATGCAACAATATTGCGTGTGGGTCTCAACAGTCCACCTGTTACTGCAGTGTTATTAGACTACAGTGAAGCATTACTTTCAGTGCCTCAGCAGCTCATGAAACGAGCAGTGAAGCTTCAGGTGCCTGTCATACAGAGAAGGTGTGCTTCAACCTTCCAGAGCAAACAAGATAGGACTTTTGAAACTCGTCTAACTCTGGATGACCTTATGCCTTATCAAGGTGATATTGAACAAGCTGTCGACAACAAAAAACACAAGAAAAAAGAACATCTTATTAATGTTTTCAAGTTCAAGCATCACATTCCCATCAGTAGCCATCTAGGGAACCAAGTAACACAGTTTGAACATGCAGATAGCAGTACTACAGTTCCTGTGCAGCCTTTTCAGAAAAAATATTTGAATAAAAATGACGATGACTATGAAGTCATTCAGTTCAAAAAGAGGCTTCTGAAGATGGCACCAGCCAAGCTATTTAGAAATGAAGACAATAGTGACAAATTATTGCACAGACCTGCTGCTTATTTGGTTGCCAAAGAAACAAAAAAAATGAAAGCTATAAAAAGTTACCTCAAACATAAGCAACAATCCATTGAAGCTCAGGATGACATTATTGATAGCTTGAAGCATGCAGTGGAGGTTGACGAGTACAGCAAAATGAACGTTACCAGAAAATATGGCCATGACAGTGAAAGCACAGAAAGTTTTATGGTGCCTGAGAAGAGAAAACGCAGAGAGTCAAGTTTTCTGCAAGAAAGCAAAGCTGTAGATAATGCCATAACAGAACAGAAGCAACTATCTGTGGATTCAGACCTAACTTCTGAGAGGAAGAATGAGCCATTTAGGCTAATGCGACAGCACAAGCCAGTCTGGCCTGAACATTTCCCAAGGAAAAGTCACCTCCAAGAAGCCGCATACAAACCTGATGAAAACTATGAAAAAAAAATTGGGAACTTGCAAGAGCACAGTGTTACTCCTGTCATAATTCGAAAAAAAAACACACCATCGCAGAATAGCGATAGAATTACCCGTATAGCCACTGATGCAATAAGCTGGAGCAATGATAAGCTCAAAGACAGTCCAGTTTTACCCGATGCTGCCACAAAATGGAAGCACGAAATTGAGCCGCACGTTTTCACAAGCACTCCAAAAAATCAGATGCTGACACCCTGCAATAATTCATTGTTGCTTCTGTCAGATGTCAAAGTAAATACCTTTTTAGCCCATAAAAAAGAAAAGCGCCATTTCACAGGCAGAAATCCATTGCTGTTCTTCAATGTGACAGTTTTAAATAATTATGGCAGTAACAAATCATCTGCTTCCTACCTGGTTCCCCTTGCAGGAAGCAAAGCCATTATGATATCATGGGGCACATATGGTGACTATTCTTCGTGACACATACGCCGTGCACTGGCAAAGTTTTACATGTGCCGCAGAAACTAGGTGGTGTACCCCACCCAAGCAGCCTGGTGTATTACTGGTCTGGATTAGCAGCTACGGAAGTGCCTGGACTATGTGACTAAGAAGCGACTTGTAATGCTCAATGGTATGGACTAGCAGAAGTGCCTGGACTTGGTGGCTAAGAAAAAACTTGTAATGCTAACTGTGCTATTTATAAAACCGACATTCACACAGAATTGGTAGTGCTTACCTTGGATTAATTTTGTGGCCCCAATCACTTAAAAAGAGTGACATCATCAAGAGTGAGCAGCCAGTGCTCTACAGTTGAATCCCTTTATAGGAAACATGCACCGGGGGGGAGGAATTCTCGTCTTCTACATGAGGTGTGTCTAATAGGCAGTGTACTATGGCTGAATTTTCTTAACACCTATTTCAATGCAGGCACACTGTTCTTTCTTACATCAGTGTCTCTTATAAAGGTGTTCCACTATGCACTCAAACCTTAATATAACGATCCCAGACATAACAAATTATCGGTTATAGCAAAGTAAATGTAGAACAGCTCTGTCATAAATACATGCTGCAAATATATGTTTATGACAAATTAACAAACATAACAAAGCATTTTTGTGGCACGTGTCACTTGTTATAATAAGGTTTGAGTGTATATCAATCTTTATAAACTGTTTGTTTTCTGATGCAGCAAGTTGATAAGTGTAGTCTGGACAGATGCACCCACTGGTGACTCAGCCTCCCGCACCATAGCATTATCTCTTGCACCTAGTACTCATGTGGTTACAACATTCCAGATTGGTGTATGTGCGCTTACAGTAACTGGGCATTCTGCCAGTGCTACATATATCCACAAGATGTTGAATCAGTAGCAAAGATCCACTAACCACTTTGAGGATGCAGCAATTTCACCATTTGTATTCAGAAGTGTATATTTTCATCACTTTAACGTTTTTGATTCAGTAGAGATCTCTAGAAGGACAGTCTTCTTTTATACATAAATACTTGAAAAGATTTAAAGCTAAATCTGTTATGAAAACATTGTGCCACAACAGCAAAGAGGCCACACCACAGTTGCATGTCCTTGTTTCCAATAAAAAAAAGCAGATTTGTAAACAAAAGGAAAAGTCAGAAATGGTTCTCATAATTTTTGGATGTTAAACCTCACATATCAATTGATCAATTAGAAATGGTTCTTAGTTTAACTGCATAACAAATTCCACAAATGCTAAAAAGCAGAAAAAAAAAAACACATTGATGCCAAAGTTTTTTTTTTCTGTAGAAGTGGTGATGCAGCCTGAATCAACTTCCAATTGTCAATATTGTATACAAACATGCTTTTTCAACACCCTGCTTGAATTTGTATGTACTAAAACACGCTTGTTCAACATTACAAATTTTGCTCACCTTTAGATCAATACCCACTGCAGGTATTTTCTTTTTGCAATGTAGAACCACAGTCACTGGATAAAAAACCTTGTTTTTTATCCAGCGGCCGTGGCAGAACCAATCTGGCTTTCTTGCAGAACCTACATGTTTGCTTTGTATAAAGGTTTTGTTAACTCAAAATTTCTAAAAATTGTGAAGAATCACTGGGAGTGATGAATAATTCTGTTGTAAGCATATTTATGTCTTGTAATCTTGTCACAATTACCAGAGAGGTTGGTTCTATTTTCTATTCAGTACGCTATAGTGCCACAGTAAACCTGATCTCTCTTGTGTACCATCAGGTGACTCTGGGTGATGAAACCTGGAAATGAATCAAAGAAATACATGTGCCCGTCTTCCCACTAATGCAAGGATATTACAGTGAACCACACGAAACACTGCCCAGATACATACAACATTTAATTCTTTTGCAGCCATAAAAAGACAAATGTGCCAAAATCACTGCAAAAAATGTTTGCTCAATTTATAGAATATTTTTCCCCTGAATTAAATGGCACCATTCTTTCAATCCTATAATGTTCCTTTATTTCACCAATCACAAACAAAAAAAAACCTTGAAGGTGGCTTCACTGCATGGCAATACAATTAAAAATACCAATAAAATGAAATAGCAATAAAATGAAACACAAATAGCCCGAAATGAACAAGTGTGGCCATCTAGCATCAAGGAACACAAGTATGATGAGTAGTTTTTATTGGCTCCATGCCTGACCAATTTTTGTCGACAAGTATATACACCATTGGTTATTTTGTCACAGAATCTCACGACTCGTTCACAGCCGCAAAAGGGTTAAAGGCAGCTTGTTGTGAAATAGGTTTATAAGTTATCTTATATAGAAAACAATTCCTGCCAACTACATTTTCCAGCATTATGGCTCACATCTGAGCTGCAACTAATGAATGTGGAAGAGTGAGGAAAGGGAAGAAGACAGTAGAAGAAGGAGGCGACATGCAGTTTTGCAGATTTCACCAATATGTAAATTATAACATAGTTCGTTTGTCGAACACGTAACAGCTAAAGTGTCAGGAAGCAGAAAAGGAACACTTTTTACCAGCTCACTGACATAATAGCACTTTTCACTCTGTAGTGTTTGTTGGACAAGAACTATTATTGGACACACAAGGATAGTTCTGGATTTTCTCACTGAAATTGATGAACTACATGTCATATGTTCTAGTACATAGGAGCACAGCCTGCCTTTTAAGGCTTCTGCTGTATTGGTAGTGTATTGTTTAGCAAGTTTCTATAGTCCTTTGCATCCGAGGGTGCTGGCTCTGATGTAAGTAGCAGTGCTATCAACGTAACATTCTCTAGTAGTGCCGTATCTACATGCTCACTGTACAATTTGCTAATCACTGTCGTAGTTTTGGTAATTGAGTATTTTACATTATTTACAGCAATTGTTTTTATGCTGATGAGCGTGTACATTATACCCATGCAGAGTCATCGTCTACACCATTTTTCACATGTCATGTTTCTAGGTGATTTTTAGCCATTGCCTAGGCCCTAGCACCTTAAAACACCACATATCACCATCGTTATCACTCATAACACATGACCCAAAAAAGAGTAATTACAAGTGGTGCCTTTTTTACAAACAAAATTAAAGAAATAGAGCATTTGTGAAATGTGGCACAATACTACTCACTGAGCAATGACACTCGAAGAGTGACAGGCTTCAAGAGGAACTGGAAATGAAAATGCAGTCCAAGCACGCACTAACCAAGTTGCACAATAGCGAAATTCTCATGACGACAAAATAATTTCATGTCCCCACGTTTACCGATAGGCGCTTGTCTCTGTCTTTTTGTTCACATCTAAGCAGTACACTCTCATTTCAAAACAGTCATGTATCACCAACTCGCCCAATCAACCATATTGACAAATTACTGATAGGATTCAATGTGTTTATTTCGTGACAATGAAATGTTCCTAAACAGCAACCACACAATAAAGAAAAGTAATGGGATGTTTCCCCACACATCTCCTGCTCATACAAGGTTGGAATACTCCATATGAGTATTCATATGAAGTGTCTTCGCTTCATACTTGAACTGCGATGAGTATCGCTACATATCGCTTGGGCGGGTACCACCTTGCAAGCGCACAGTGCTGGAAGCTGCAAGAACCAGACAATGTAATCTGCCATTGCCACCACATTGTTTGTTTAGCCCGATCCTTTCTGTGCACAGCCGCATTAGAGTGTAGCCGGATTCCTGTTCATGAGCAGAACAGCAGCTTGGTGTTTGCCATTCTCAGGCTGACATGTGCAAGCAGCTTTGCTCAAGCATAGCAAGCTTCCCTTCCTGTTTGAAGAATGGGTCCAAGATCCATTTTAGCAATGTTCCACAGCAGCTGCATAGTGAAGTCAGCAATGGAGGCGTTATTTCCATCAATGCATGTGCTGGACGCTTTCAAAACGATGAGGACATTGTTCAGAATACAACTTTCTACTATATGGGAATAGTCAACAAGACAAGCTAACTAAATTCTGTCATCAAATTTTCATTTTGCCAGTCATTTTTCTATTTATACTAGTACTACATTATTTTACGATAATGAGAATTTACATTAACATACATAATAAAATATACAAATCTAGCAGCAGTCTTGAGATAACTGTTCTCAAATTCGCAATAAATGCACTTGCACTGTAATATAACTTGTTTTTTTTTTTAACCAACAAGCCTTTTTTATGCACTTAAGGTTAAAAATTACTGGAATGCAATGCATCTTTTTACAAAACATGGCCTTGAAAGTAAGTAGCCAAAAGCTAATTATCAAAGCTTAATTTGTTGTTAATTCATGAACTCATTATCATTATTTCTTGCAATTGACATTGTGGGGAAGCATGCGCACCCAGCCTCCCTTTCCCTTATTACGGCAGCGCGAAAGCCTACTTGCGGGAATACCCGCACGACCGGCGCTCGCGATTCCCCCCTTCCCGGCGCGCGGAACGGCTCCCCTCCCTCAGCGAGAAAAGGTATTATTATTGTCAGGGAGAGGGAAACCGGGGCAGTGGACAAAACTAGCGTGCGAACGGCCGCATGCCCTCTCTGACACCGGTCAGGAACGAAGGAGGTCGAGCCCGCGAACCCCTCCTGCGAGCCGAGAATGACAATGAACAAGGAGTAAGCGTCTACCCTCATTTTCTATATTATCTCCTCATGACATTTGCGCGCTATTGCCAACGCCCAGCAATAAAGTGTTGTTGTTGACCTAGCCTGTTGCCTTATTCGCCCAAACCCGTGTAGCTGCAATGAGACTAGCTACGGATAGGGGACGTTAATCGTGCACGGTACGGCTGTGTGCGGCTGGAACATTAGTTAGGCTTCTGCATCAGCTGTACATAAGACGAACCCCCTACAACATTTGAATTTAAGAGTAAATCAGCTCAAGCACATGAAACAAGTGATTTTTAGGAATTCCATAAATAACAACAAAAAAAGAAACTCATGGATGTTGACAGTTTCACGAACAGCCAGAATGCACTAATTCCCAAATGCTCCATTATGCCACATAGTTTTAAGAGTTGCTTTTCACGCAATGAGGAATCGTATGACTGTAGGAGTGTCTCAGTGCTGTATGGTAGCTCCATATTGCCACCTACTTCTAGTAGTGGGTCGTAGCGGAACCCTTGATAGCGGAACCCTTGACTCGCCTTACACGCACCGACACACTATTCGTATGGGCTACCGAACAACAGGCTGCTTTTGCCGAGCTACGACAGCGGATGCAGTCAGCCCCTGTTCTTGCGCATTTTGACGATGATGCTGACACAGAGGTGCACACTGACGCCAGTAACATCGGCCTCGGCGCAGTGCTCGTCCAGCATCAACACGGCAAAGAACGAGTCATAGCCTATGCCAGCCGCTCACTGTCCCGTACCGAGGTGAATTACACGACCACAGAGAAAGAGTGTCTCGCAGTAGTGTGGGCGATCACCAAGTTTCGTCCGTACCTCTATAGTCGTCCACTTAAAGTTGTGCCGGACCACCATGCCCTCTGCTGGTTGGTAAGCATTCGTGATCCCTCTGGACGACTGGCCCGATGGAGCTTGCGTCTACAGGAATTTGATGTTACCATCGTATATAAGTCTGGACGGAAGCATGAAGACGCTGATACGCTGTCGCGTGCACCCATACCTTTAGTCAATCAAGAAGAAGAGGACGATGACGGTTTCCTGGGCGCCCTTAGCTCATCTGACTTGAGCAGACGCCAGCGAGAGGATGAACAGATTCGATCGCTCATCGACTATCTGGAGGGTCATAGCGCCGTTATACCTCGCCATCTATCTCGTGTCATGACGTCTTTCTGCCTCCGAGATAATGTCCTGTACAAAAAAAACGCCCGTTCTACGAGCCGTGCTTACCTCCTCGTCGTTCCGAAGGACATGCGGGACGAAGTCCTCTCCGCGTGTCATGACGAGCCCACATCTGGTCATCTAGGTTACTCGCGAACGCTCGCCAGAGTAAGTGAGGCGTACTACTGGCCCGGACTTTCGGCAAGCGTGAAGCAGTACGTTAAAAGCTGTCGTGAATGCCAGCGTCGAAAGTCGCCGCCAAGCAAGCCGGCTGGATTACTTCAGCCAATTGATCCACCCCACAAGCCATTTGACCAAGTCGGTATGGACATTCTCGGCCCATTTCCTTTATCGTCCAACGGCAACAAATGGGTCATCGTTGCAACTGACTATTTGACCCGCTATGCTGAGACACAGGCGATACCACGAGCCACGGCTTCTGAGGTAGCACAGTTCTTCATGTGCCAGATTGTTCTGCGCCACGGTGCTCCATCTACAGTGATAACCGACAGAGGAACAGCGTTCACTGCACAGCTTATTGATGAAGTTTTTCGACTAAGTAACACTAGGCATCGAACGACGACTGCTTGCCATCCGCAGAAAAATGGCTTAACCGAGCGACTAAATAAGACAGTCACAAACATGATCTCCATGTACATCGACGTTCAACATAAAACATGGGATCGCATTTTGCCTTATGTGACGTTCGCTTATAACACCGCCGTTCAAGAAACAACCCGATTTACGCCGTTTCGCCTTCTCTACGGCCGCGAAGTTCAGACGATGCTGGATGCGATGCTTCCTTGTGAAGGCGTCGATGAATTAACAATGGACGCAGAAGAATTTGCAGAGCGTGCTGAGGAAACTCGCCAGCTCGCCCGGCTACACATTGGTCAGCAGCAACAGGTTGATGGACGACGTTACAATATGCGTCACAATGACGTATCTTACAGTCCGGGAGACCAAGTTTGGGTTTGGACCCCTGTTCGACGCCGTGGCCTCTCCGAAAAGTTGCTGAGCAGATACTTTGGTCCGTATAAAGTATTACGCCACGTGAGCGACGTAACTACGAAGTGGTTCCGGACGCTACGTCGTCACGATGGGTACAACGAAAACAACTGACCTCTGACATAGTTCACGTGGTGCGCATGAAGCCTTATTTTGCACGTTCTTAAAAGACCACTTTTCCTGTGTTTTTTTTATTTGTGCTCCGACAATTGCCTCATCATTGGTGAACTTATCGTGTCTAACATTTGATTATTGGTGCCCTTTTTCGTTGTTTAGGCTACCTTGTTTTGGTTTTTTTTTTCAATAACTTTACAGCATCGGGACGATGCTCTTTCTTTTTTTGTTGAGGAGGAATATTGCCACCTACTTCTAGTAGTGGGTCGTATGCCAAGGTGAAGGCTCACACCACAGAGAAGAAAGAAGTGCGCGTGGGCCCCCCCCTGCTCTGGCAAGCAAGCCCAACCGACGCGCTTGGTTAGAGCCCTGTTGCTCAGACGTGAATAAATCTTGCCGACACTCCCTGGAGCGACGTGACAATATACATGCAGTAGTAGCCCAAGAATTTCTCCCATACAGCAAAAATTTGGAATCAATACTATACCATAAACTGACATGTGCAAGTAGTACTGCAATTCTGCTCAATAGAGCAGAATTGCAGTACATACTACTTATAAAAATTTCCTCTCCTGGTTACTTACAGAATGTCAATGTTGCTATAGCATCAAAGTAGCTACAGTGATAATTACAGAAACACAAGCTATATGGACAGATCATTGCAAAAAGCAAAGTAAGGAGAGAGGCCTCCACTATTAACGGTGTTAGTGAATCTCTCTCCAAGTGGTCCATCACAGTAACTGCTCCAACAACATCTTTAACTTGAAAATACTTATCACAAGAGGAATACAGGCCAATTGCATGCATGAGCGAAGTTGGCAGCATGAAAGGCAGCAAAGAACTTTTTAATGCCACTGATTCAACACACGAGCTACAAAAAGAAAGGGATATGGGTGATAAATCTCACTGTTCATTCTCGGACACTTGGAGACACAAAGTATCATTCATCAGTAGTACAGGGTTCACTTCACATAGATGGTATTTCCCAACCAAAATTCTTCAAAAGTGGCTTCAAACTGGAAAGCGAAACTGGGTACATGTAGGAGCCAACACGGGAGCGTATCCACCACTGACCAGCTTTCGCTTGGGAGCTGCCAACTGGAGCATACCGATAGCGATAGTGCTCAGCTCTAATGTACCTGAAGAAGAAAAACAAACACCAAAACCGGCAATGTGTAAACATCATTCCCCAAACATAACATGTTCAACTAGAAAAAAAGATCTATACCTATGCAATACTCTAAAGTAGGGTTTTGGTGCGCGAAAACCAATGTTGCATATAGGTTGGTTCACAGCAGTAACCAACCAGTCTAATTTCAACTACATAGTAACAAGGACAAAATTTTGTCTTAATTTGGTTTAGAAATTTTCCTCATAAAATGCAAGAATAATAACACTTTTGTAATGTAGTTGCACTGAGCAAAAGGTAAAAAGAAGTAACGAAAGTAGAGGAGAAGACAAGTGGTGTCTTCTTGTTTCGTTACGCCTTTGTACCTTTCGCTCAGCATAACTACATACATTACAATGCCGTACCAACTAGCCTAAATTGCTAAACAATACCAGCACTGTGGACTAGTCGACTGCTACTAATAGTTCTTGGTGCCTAGCAAGTCAAAATATGTGGATTGGTGTGCAAGAGATACTGTTACGGTTGGTTGTTAGGCATTAATTAAAGACCCAACATGCTCATTGCCAAACATATGTAAAAATCTTTTTTTTAAGACCTGTAAAGGCACAAACACTGCAGAAGTGAATGCAGAACCACTCGTTCGATGGCCAAAGAAATGCCACAGCCCTATAGACCCGATGGAGTTTTCAGAGTGCTACATGGCAGTTTTGATGAGCTGTTGAGTGGTTAAGGCATCTCTCGCAAAACTTGCATGACACTGCAGATCTTTATTTTTATATTCAATGTAATCTAATAGTAAATAATATAATTTCAATTAAAATCACAAATGTCTATTGTTTTTGTTTCAACATCTTGATACATACATTGTTTATTCGTACGTAGTTATGAATGCATATTTAGTTCTTACATTGCTGAGCAGCGAAACTGGGGCAAGCGATACACGGCACGACAGCACAATAAAGACAAGCACATTGCTCTAGTCGAGTGGCAAAAATACTTCATTCAATCATTCACAATTCTCACATATTCTACTTCTAAAGCATACCGGTAAGATTTCTTTTTTCTAATAATGAGCATGAGCACACCAAAAATGAGAGCACGTGTATGTGCTGTTCTCACTTCCATTGCTCAATGGCTACCATAGCTTCAACTGAGTTGCAAGCTGCTCCGTTGACTTGATAGACTAGTGACTCGATGGCCTTCACACAAGCCATTTAACAGCTCGTGCTTGACCAGTGAGTTCCAACCATCGGTCGAAAAGTCTTCCAAACGCCCGTGTGACATGGGTATTAAAGGTTCACACAAACGTTAACAAGCACATAATATGGTTCTGCCTAGGTAATTAAATACCCTTTCTTGTACTTTGGCAAGAACTTTCAAAATAGAGCTTTACTTGCTGCAGCCTGCTTACAGTAGCCAGGCTCACACAATTTGTAGTAAGTGTCCTGCACTCCTATATGCAGTGAAAGGGCAGTCCATAATACCATAGTGGCGACCAATATTATATGGTTGTTCTCATGTGAAAGCCGCTAGCATGTTGGTTGCGAGTTTTACGAAGACAACAAACATTTTCTTTTCAGCTTTGGTGGTGCTTGCGGAGTGAGAATGTGCTTGTGCACCAGTGCATGTGATGCGACAGTATGTGAAGCTGCTGCAATCACAGTGTCCAAACAGAAAAGGCAATACACAAGAATGAGCATTTATTTGATATGACCCTGATGACCCAGTATACATACATGTTAGCTGCTCTCCTCAGACATGCATGAAAGTACTCAACTATGAATGCATATATTTTGTAAATGCCCAGCATTGACTTGTTTGCATTGTTTAGTAACCATATTGCGACAGGCAAACCAAGAAAGACAACAAAAAGCCAACATCTTTCCCAAACCAGGCCAGAGAAAAACATTATCTTGTTTTCCCACTCGTAAGTGTGTACATGTTACAATGAGTGGCTCATAATAATGGCATGTGGCATCATGCCACACACCATCATGGTGGAGATTTTTCTCAAAGTATGCAATGGCAGTGTACCCTGTGAGATGACAATATTCGTAGTTGAAGTTTGAGACTATTACGTGAGCCGACCTGCATCTAGGCCAAATAACTCCACGGGCAGCACCGACATGACGTGCAAGACAGAAAAGGCAAATTATCCTCCTTGATTACAGGATTGGGGATGTTCTATTGACATTACACATTGGCAAAGAGGTTGCTTCAAGGGGGCAGAGTAACAGATTCATTGGAAACATGTAATGCTGTCTTTAATATTTGGGTATTCTCTGCTTCAGCAAAAAAAAAGTCCAACGACAAAGGACTGAATTTGGGTGGTGGTCCTTGTAGGTGGCAGTGGCTGCTCCTTGCTGCAAGGGCCGTAGCTGTCTCTGCAGTGCTAGTAATATAATATATGTGCGGTTTTATGACTCACAACCAAGATATTGTCACGGAAGAGAAAAGATGCCATATCGACGAGGCTGTGGATGAAATATATTTCAAACCAGCAGCAGTGGCGTGACCGGTTTTCCAGACACCGAGCGGAGACCACTCTTCGTCCTCTTCGTGAGGCACACACCTGTCAACATGCATGTAGCATAATCCCAGGTGGCAGAAGCGCTGTCTCGGCGCATCTAGATGTCAACGTCAGCGGGAGTGTGGCAAGGCTTCAAGCGTGCCACATGTACGATATCGGTGATCTGTGGGGCAGTTGAAGGCAATGAGGCAGCAGGGGCAATTTCATATGTCACAGGAGTAACCTCACGAAGGACTCGATATGGACCTTTGTAGCGGGAAAAAGGCTTTCCCGACAAGCCGACTTGACGGGTTGGGGACCACAGCAGCACCAATGAACCAGGTAAGAAGTGCACGCCGCGGTGCCGTTGATCGTACAAATGCTGCTGGTTTTCTTGAGAGGCCAGAAAGAGAGTGCGGGCGATTTCGCGTACATGGGCAGCCCGAGCGATAGCGTCAAGGGCATATTCGCTGGTCAGTGTCGCAGTAGACAGAATGACTGTATCTACGGGTAATGTAGGTTCTCGGCTGAACAACAGAAAAAATGGGGAGTAAGCGGCAGTGTCCTGTCGAGAAAAATTGTATGCAAATGTCACGTATAACAAAGCAACGTCCCAGTCAGATTGGTTGGAAGAAACATATCTCGCAAGCATGTCTGTAAGTGTTCGATTCAGATGCTCCGTGAGTCCATTTGTCTGCGGGTGGTACGACGCAGTGAGCTTGTACCTCGTTTCACATGACTGAAGGATGTCGTCTATGACCTTTGATAGGAAGGTGCGGCCACGGTCTGTAAGCAGCTGGCGTGGAGCTCCATGTTGCAAGATCACGTCTTTGAGGAGGAAGTCGGTGACATCTGTGGCGCAGCTTGTTGGAAAAGCTCGTGTGATGGCATACCGCGTGGCGTAGTCTGTGGCCACAGCTATCCACCTGTTGTCAGAAGAAGACAAGGGAAAAAGGCCCAGGAGGTTTAAGCCAACGCGGAAGAAAGGTTCTGATGAAATGTCAAGTGGTTGAAGGTGCCCGGCGAAAAGCTTCGATGGTGTATTGCGGCGATGACATTTATCATAAGCCGCAACGTATCTTCTGACTGAGCATGAAAGCTCTGGCCAAAAGAAGCGTCGGCGAATCCGGTCGTAAGTGCGTGACACACCAAAGTGACCGGCAGTTGGAAGGTCATGGAGTTAGTGGAGAACTGCTGAGCGGAGGTGTTTTGGAATGACGAGCAGCTGGGCTGGTCCATCTGGGTAGAAGTTCTGGTGGTATAAGACACCATCGTGGAGGACGAATGAGCGATGGGGTCTGTCGGAAAATGGTGATTCGTGATATTCGATTATAGTACGCAAGGCTGCATCACGGCGCTGCCCGTCACCGATCCGGGTCAGTTGCGAAACGGAGAAGACGCAGGTATCGGTGTCGTGTCAGAGATGGTGCTCAATGCATCGACTGGGTAGCGGGAGAGGCAGTCTGCGTCCTGATGTAGGCGTTCCGACTTGTACGTGACTGTATAGGTATATTCTTGCAGTCGCAGAGCCCAGCATCCAAACCGGCCAGAAGGATCCTTCAGTGATGAAAGCCAACATAGCGCGTGGTGGTCCGTTATTACAGAGAAATTCGTGCCATATAAATATGGGTGGAGCTTCGTGACTGCCCAAACAAGAGCAAGACATTCACGCTCTATTATTGAATAGTTGCGCTCGGCAGCTGTGAGAAGGCGGCTAGCATAGGCGATAACTCGGTCGTGTCCCTGCTGGCGTTGACCTAGGACGGCTTTGATCACGTGACCGCTCGCATCGGTTCAGACTTCTGTCAGAGCGGACGGATCAAAGTGGGCCAATATAGGATGAGTCGTGAGGACGGTGATGAGATGAGAAAAAGCGGCAGCTTGAGCAGAACCCCACGTAAAAGTGACGTCTTTCTTCAGAAGGTCGGTGAGTGGTCGAGCGAAGTTGCAAAATCTTTCACGAACCTTCTAAAATAGGAACAAAGTCCCACAAAGCTCTGGACGTCCTTGACAGACTAGGGTACAGGAAAGCTCGTGATGGCAAGAATTTTCTCCGAGTCAGGCTGCACACCTGATGCGTCGGCAAGGTGGCCCAACACCGTAATCTGCTGGCAGTCGAAGTGACATTTCGACAAGTTTAGTTGAAAGCCAGCAGTGCGGGAGATGTTGAGAACCGCTGACAAACGATGGAGGTTTGTCTCAAATGTAGGCAAATATGCAAGGACATCATCCAGGTAGCACAGGCATGTTGACCACTTAAAACCGTGTAATAGCGAGTCCATCATATGCTCAAACGTGGCTGGGGCGTTGCATAGCCCAAACAGCATCACCTTGAATTGGTATAGGCCGTCGGGAGTTACAAACACAGTCTTTTCTTGGTGTTTCTCGTCCACCGCAATCTGCCAATAGCCAGAACGTAGGTCAATTGAAGAAAAGTACCACGCGCCATGAAGACAATCGAGGGCGTCATTAATTCGGGGCAAAGGATAAACGTCCTTTTT